GGGGGGGGGGGGCGGCTACAGTGATCCCCATTTAAAGATGAAGGATTTCAGGCTTACAAAGTCCAGTTATCTGTCCAAGATCACAGCTAGCCGGTGGTGGAGCCAGCATCAGAGCTCTTCCCACCAGGCTTTGCTTCACAGAAAACCATTAATCCCCCTTTTCTCTCCCATGTCACGTGTGTTTATACTGCACAGGAGAACAAAAGATGGTTTAAAATTCTCGTTTTTCTCACCTGCTGAAAAGCAGTCCGGCCTATTGTTACTAATCAGGCTGTACCTGGCTCCTGGCTCTCCAGGCGATCCCTCCAATCCTCTTCATATGGCCTCTCCGCTTACCCTCATTCCTGCTCCGGATTCTTTCTGGCCTTTCAGAAAACAACTGGCAACAGTTTAGCAACTAGTTTAAATATCTTTAGCTTGGCTAAGAATCCCCATTGCAGGGGCACCTGGATGGAGCAAAGCAAGAGTGCCACCTGGTGGCATAGTTGGGTCACTGCCAACAATATTCCTTGGGCAAAGGTGGGCTCGCAGGTACAGGGGGACGGACCAGCGTTCACGCTGTCTGGGAACCACTCCTAGACAACTACAAGAAACAACTCACCACTGTCTAGGCACTAACTTCACGAAACTCAAAGTCTTACTCGAATACAAGTTTGGGACTTTAAAGGCATGCATTTCTTGGTTCCAGAGCCTAGGGCTGGGATTAAGGTGAGGTAGGAGGCATCCCATCCATGCAAGGGTTGCATCTCATCTGCACTTAAAATTTTGAAATCCTTGGGACGCCTGGGTGGCTCAGTTGGTTGTGTCTGACTTCGGCTCAGGTCATGATCTCACAGTCTGTCAGTTCAAGCTCCACGTCTGGCTCTGTGCTGACAGCTCAGAGCCTGGAGCCTGCTTCGGATTCTGTGTATGTCTCTCTCTCTCTCTCTCTCTCTCTCTCTCTCTCTGCCCCACCTGCACTCATGCTCTGTCTCTCTCTCTCTCTAAAAACTAAATAAGCATTAAAAAATTGAAAAAAAAATTTTTTTGAAATTCTTTTCCTCGTGGATGTTTGCATTAATTTTGACCTTTTAAAAGTGCATCAAAATATTAGTTATCTTAATTACTGAGTTTTGGGCACTCCCCCCTGACATCGTGCACCCATGGAAAACTCCTCTTGCTTCACCCTAGTATGGGGCTGCTGAGGTCCTCTGACAAAGGATTCTGTTTCCTTTCAAAGCTCTGTCGGTACCTGAGCTACAACAGCTCCTGTGGTCTCCTTGCTCATCTGCCTTTGCTCTATCCCGTCTGAGAATGGCCTTGGCATCACCACCATCCCTCCTACCCAATTCGTCAACTCAAGTCAAAAGAAAGTACCCAGACGGGGACACACTTCAGTGTAATTGCTGGGGAGCCTGACAAAACACATTTGCTGTTCACTGACCTCCGCCCATCACCGACCTCTGCCTGTCACCGACCTCAGTCCATCTCTGACCTCCGCAGATCACTGCTCGTGAGTGGGCAGCTAACTTGCCTCCCTGCTTTTGCCAGGTCCCAGACCACTGGGCTGCAAGTCTGAGCAAAGTGCACTTGTCTACACTGCATGCCAGCCCAGGGTCTTTCTTGGGGTGTTGCTTTCTCAAGAATGTCCAAGCTGACTGCCCACATCAGGTCAGATAGCCACAAAACTCAGCGTCTACACTGGGTCACGCCAGTCGCCTGATCCATGGCTCAAGGCTAGGAGGGAAGTTCTTTACCTGGAACATATGAGTGGGTTGGGCGGGGGGGAGGATTCTAGAAACGCCTGAAAATTTATGGAAATGATGTGTGTTTTCTGGGGAGATGATTTATCACTTTCTTCCCATTCTCCGAGGAGCCCTTGACCCCACAGCTGTCTCCATAAAGTCTTCAAGCTCCATCAAGGGTCTGTGTGAAAAATACAACAAGAGATCTCTCCATGTCTGACCTGGTAACAAGTGTCAGCGGCCCCATCTGTGGTATTTAAACAGTTGGGAGAGTCTGAGAAGGGCCGGAATGGTTTTCAAAATTCAGAGGAAGGAAAAATTCCTTCGACTCGATAAACTGGAATCTCAGGTGCATACTGAGAACTGGAGAGTCGCCACTGCCTTCTCTGCCTTTCCCTCCCTGAAAGATCTTTCGGCCTTGCCATCGTTCTCCGGCAAAGTTCTTTTGCAAGATCTAGGCTTCCCCCTGGAATACTCTTCCACGCTTTTGGCATCCTTCACTCATCCTTTCCGTTGAGCTATCTCGACATCTCTAAACAGGGCTGGGAACCTTACACTCCTGTTACCACGCAGATGACTTTTCTGGGTTTATTTGCGTATTTACCTATCCTGCCCATAAGACTGTGATCCCAGGAGGACAGGAGCCCAATCTTACTCATTTCTGCATCCCCAGCACCTAGCACAGAATCCATGTGTGGGGGGAAAAAAAAAGTTACGTGGATGAATAAACAAACAGATCCATGGATGAATGAATGAATGAATGAATGCACAGCTCCCCACCCTCCCCACCCCCGCACATACACACCCCCATGCCTTCATTTCCCAGATGAGGCATGTGAGGCAGGGAGGGACATTAGCATGCCAGTGAGACCGAGCCCCCAGGGCCTCCCCACGGGAGCCGCACCCACGCCAGCTGCAGCTGCACGCTGAGATCATGCAGGACCCCGAGCCCCTCGGCGGCCACCTTGCCTTGTCTTTCCTTCTTGTTGCTGCTCCTTGGCCCAGCGCACACAGTAGGGAGGCGCTGACCCAGGGAAATCAGAGGCAAGCAGGCGGTTGCTGCCAGGTGCCAGCTGCCCCCCACCCTCGGCGGGGTCTGGGAAACCGGAATCTTCTCTGTGACTCTCTGTCATTACCACAGTGAGGACCACAGTGAGAAACGATTTGACTCTCTCAAACTTACTTCAACAGCAGGATACAGAGAGCTGAACCTCATGCCCAGAAACGCATCGTCCATGAACCTAAAACAGCCAGTTTTACTTCGCTTCCTCCCCCACGGAATTAGATTCAGGAGAGGTCGGATAAAATCTCCGGACGGGCGGCCCCAAGCGCTGCTTGTCCCAAACACATTGCAGAGACTGGGAAGAGAGCTGGAGGAGGGTGGCCTACCCAGCTGGCCTTGTTCCTGCTCTCAAGTGGGGGGTGGGGGTGGGGGGAAGCCTCTGAGGAAATTCGTGGGCCCCAACACAGCTGTGGTCGTTACTGAATCATTAGATTTGCCACAAACAAGATAAAAATTTCAAACAACAAAGAGGACTTTTCCGTGGTCGGCTGAACGGGGTTTCTCATTGTGTTTTGGTTCCTTCTGGTTTCCTCACACCCTGACTGCCTTTGCCAGAAAGCCACAGGAGCCCCTGTTCCTCCAGCAGGCCTGAGGGGGGGGGCAAAGGATTTTTGGTTTTTAAAAGTAGGTAAATCCGGAAAAGACTCAGGGTTTTGAGTCATTGTTTTGTGAGCAGCAGTTTGACCTCCTCTTGCCCACTTCTCAGAATTAGAGGTCTCCTCTCTGAGGAACACAAAAGCCCAAACAGGAAAAGAGAAGAATATCCCAAATTCGTAGCTAGGAAAAGGGAAGTCACTCCGCTGTTTGTCCTCAAATGTACACCCTATTCAGATTCTCTACCTCTTCCAGATGTCGGGTAGAAATAAGCCACTTGTCCCTGATCCCACAGTTTTCTATTCTGTGTGTGTCTTACCTGTCACCCTAGACTTCAGACCTCTTTCTGTCCCCTTTCATACCTACTAAGTGTATAATAAATATTATTGTCTGATCAAAAGCCTGAAGCCAAATTAAAGCCGAGAGCATTTTTATAAAATATGAATTATTTAGAAAGTGTTACTAGAGGCCAAGCCCTTTATATCATATTTTAATCCTCACTGAAGTCCTGTAGGGGTGGGTGTTTTTTTGTTTTACAGATGAGAAAACCGAGCCTGGGAAGGCTTCTGGGAGTGCAAGGTGCTTCTCAGTGGTGGGGGGTTGAACTCCGGGACAGTCTCACTGGCAAAGCTATGCTCCTCACCTCTTTGGACTTCCCAGCATTTCAGCGGATGACCCAGGAAAGCTTTCACTTATTGGGCACAGTAACCAGGACCTAAGGGATCAGGACACTGTGTAAAACACGGCAGGACTCAGAGCAGAAAAAGGTTCACTAGCATCCAAATCGTTAATGCTTTTCCAGGCAGAGTGACAGGGACTGCCCAGGCCAAGCCCTCATCTCCCAAATCCCACCCTTGCCCCCTAACCATGGCCAGCTCTTCTCTCCCAACCACCCTCGGTGAGTATCAGGAGAAATGTCCTTTGTCTCCTCCCCTAACTAGCCCTGAGCTGGAGTGTGGCACAGTATGGTGGTTCTGAGTATGTGTGTAGCTGCAGACCTTTGCCCCAGTCATGCTCATAGCCAATATCCCTGAATTGATCCCAATACTCCTTGCTACAGAAGACAGATCGGAACTCAGAATCATTCTCAATACAGCATTCCAGGCAAACACTACCAATCCATCAGCCTTGTTCTGAGATTAAGCCTGTTTGTCATTGTTTGCATAGCAAGTGATCAGTGGAATTTAATTTCCATTCCCTTCTACCCTTCCTGCCTTCCTTCCTCAGTGTTTCTGGGATGGGTAGAGGGATGGATGGATGGATGGATGGAAGGAGGGAGGGAAGGATAGAGGAAGAGAGGGAGGGAAATAGGAATAGATGGATGGATGGATGGATGGATGGATGGCTGGAGGGAAGGATAGAGGAAGGGAAGGAGGGAAATAGGGAGGGAGGGAGGGATGGATGGATGGATAGATGGATGGATGGAAGGATGGAAGGATGGAAGAAGGGATGGATGGATGAAGGGATGGATGGATGGAGAAATGGAGGGAGGGAAGGAAGAAAGGAGGGAAGGATAGAGGAAGGAAGGGAGGGAAATCGGGAGGGAGGGAGGGAGGGAGGGAGGGATGGTTGGATGGCTGGATGGAAATTAAGTTCTCCCCTTACACAGGAGCCCTGGTTGGCACCACTCCTAATTCTGCTGACTCCACTCAGTGCCAGTGCTTCCTTGACAAAACTTGCTCTTAGCATGTGGCATTTGTTATAGGAACTGGTGAGATTCCTGGGTCATTCTGAGGCCATGGAGGATCTTCAGCGTCAGCACTTTGTTTCTCACTCAGTCTCATTTCCTCCCCCTCTAACATATGCCTGAGCTTAAAAACATCCACTCACCCCATACTTCCTTCTTCTTTTTAAAGCTCAAGCTGACAAGAGAAATTTCTTCTCCCACTCACCACTTTTTTTTGTATACAGAGAAGAAAAAATACAATTCCACTGTGGGGTGCATAGGAATTGCCAATGATTAAAAACTTTTCTGTCTCTTTGGAACCATCATCACCCTTAACCTATACCATTAGTTGCCTAGAGGTTCTGAATCATCCCATGATTTAGTTATGCATGGGGAAGCATGTTTTTCCAGGGCCTTTTAAGAAGCTTTGGCTTTTGGTTTTGAACCAATCAAGTTATGGTGATAACAGAATATTCTTTCCCTAGCAAAATACCACGTAGTGTTCAAGAGGAAGAACATGTTAAGAAACTTTTATTCAAGTCACTTTGAAGAGGAATAAAATAGCTCTTATAAAGCAACATTTTTGAGATTTGAGTACAAGTAAATCAGAAGCATATGGATTGTGTGCTGTGAAAACATACTTTTGTTTCCCTGGGAAGGAAGAAAAAGTACTTGGGAAAAATATATTTTATAAAATGGCATATATTAGAAAATAGCTGGAGATTTTTAAGAAAACCAAAATGTAGCAGGAATGGTCCAGCCCTAGTTATTAATATCCTGGAACCAGCTGGGGAGTAAAATTAGGTGGTGAAATTATTGTACCATTCTTATTCCGAGCTGGAAAGGACACATTTCTCAAATCTTTCTCACAAAAGAAAAATGATATACTGAGACCTAGGAGATGAGGCTTTGTGTTTTTTTCTTTGGTTTGGTATCAGTTCTGATAATAATTCTTATCACTGGACTCATAGACTAGGTAAGGTAAGAATGTGTAGGTAGTGGGGTGCCTGGGTGGCTCAATTGGTTAAGCATCCGACTCTCAGTTTCGGCTCAGGTCATAATCTCGTGGTTTCATGGCTTCGAGCCCTGCCTTTGGCTGTGCACTGACAGTGTGGAGCCTGCTTGAGAGTCTCCCTCTCTCTCCCTCTCTCTCTGCCTCTCCCCTACTCATTCCATCTCTGTCTCTTTCAAAATAAACTTAAAAGAAAAAAAGAGTGTGGAGGTAGATATGGGGTTGCCACAAATCATGGCTCTACCCCGTTAGACATGGGATCTCCACAATCCATTCACCTCTTCCTATGCCCTTGTTTTGTCATCTGGAAAGTGAGACGAAGACAATGACGATGATGACAATGAATTACTACACTTACTATCTGGGAAAGCACTTGGAATAAATGTCTGATGCACAGAAAAGTTCTCAGTAAATGTTGGCTCATATTATTTGTCTTCTTGCCTAGAATGCTCTGCCACTAGATAACTCTATGGTTCAGTCATGCACTTCAAAACCTGACAAACCTTTAGGTAGACTGAGGAAAAAAAAAAAAGAAATAAAATGAAATGCAAGTGGTGACATTACAATCAACTTGAAAGAAATAACAATTATGAGGAGAGAATACAGTGAACAACTGTACCCCAGCAAATCAGATAATCTACATGAAATAGCAAATTCTTAGAAACACACCAATCACCTAAATTGACTCAAGAAGAAATAGAAACCACAACAGACCTATTACAAGAGAGTGAATCGGTAATCAAAACCTCCCATTGGAAGAAGGTTCACGACCAGATGTCTTCACAGGTGAATTCTACTAAATATTTAAAGAAAATTTAATACCAATCCTTCTCAATCTCCTCCAAAATATGGTAGAGGGGAACACTTCCTAACCCATCGCATGATGACAGTGTTCTTCTGATAGCAAAATTAGTCCCGCAGTTCTTTCAGGACTCTGCCCTCCCCTTCCATACAACTATAGTTTCACCTCCTCCCACACACATATGCATTCCCTCGCCTCAACTTATTTTTCATCATAGCTCTTATCACTACCTGATATATACTTACTTTCCTATTGATTGATTCTCTTCTCTCACTAGAATGTGGGAGTTCCATCAGAGCATGGAATATTTTTTTCCACGGAATAACTTCTTAGGCATGAATTTTCCACGCCTAAGATAGTGCCTACCACATAATAAGGGCCTATAAAAATGTGTTGGGTAAATATATTGTCTAACCATTCTTTTACTGAAAGAAAATAAAGAGAAATCTAGAGAGGACCTGGGTATTGCAGAACTCCAAGATCTAGCTGACTAGAAGAAAATTCGCCTTCAGAAGCAGATAACCAAGAAAGTGTTATGTCAGGAAAACAAAGGGAAATGAGATTTCTGAAAAGCAGGGACCAGTCAGCAGTGTCAATAATGCTGAGAAATCAAGTACAATAAGAACCAAAATGTCCACTGGATTGAGCTGCAGATTATTGGCCACCTTCGTGAGAATCATTTGGGAGGTATCATAAGGCTAGAAGACAGAAGCCAGGTAACTTTGATCAGTAGATGAAGGAGGCAGCCCATTCTGATAACATTTTAAAGAAGTTTTCTATTAAAAACAGAAGACACAGAGATAAGGAAGCTGCTAGAAAGGGCAGGTGTCAAGTGAGGATATTGTCTTTAAGTGGGAAGGATCTGTAAATGTCTAAAAGCACATGGAAAGAACCCAGTTGAGGAGAAAAGAAGTTGAAAATACAAGAGAAGGCAAGGTTCCCGGAAGGAAAGGTATGGGAGGCAGACCATAAGACTGGCTTTAGCAAGGACCAACCTCTCCTACACTCTCAGACTGCAGGAAGGCAAGACCCGGAGAGCCCCTTTGACTTACCCACCAGCCCAACCAGGACCCAGGTCTCCAGTGTTCTTTTTACTATGCAGTTTTTTCTCTTGCTCAAATTAGAATGTTCAACGAGACGTGAGGAGGAGAGGGGGTTAGAAATCAAAACTGGTAAATAAAAAATGCCTACTACAATCGATTTTGTCATTGAAGACTTTCTTAGGGAGGGTGCTTCTTCCCACTCAGGAGCTCTTTCCCCAGCAGCATGAACCCCATTAGCAGAGTATCTCCCTGGAGCCCTTCTTCACCCCTCCCCTGGACAGCAGAGGGACTTACCTAATTGAGGAATCTGTGGGAAGAAACCAAGCATGCACAGCCCAGCCCCTTCCTGTCTCTTCTTCCTTGTAGGAACTAGCAGAGAAAACATGCTCTAGATGGCTGTCAAACCCATGGCAAGCACAACAGTAAAGCTCTCCACGCTTCCCGTGTGTGGAGGCCAGCAGTGGTCTGCTTCTGCCTCTGACCAGATCGGCTGGTGCAGCCAGCACGTGCACTCACGATTAGGAAGTCCATTTGGCCACAGATATATTCCACTTTCTCCAATGTCAGCTTTATCAATAGGAAAGATGTTATTTTGGTGTCTCTCTGCCTCTCTCCTTTGTCTTTTTTTTTTTTTCCAGTGGGTTCAGAAAAAGATGAGAAGGAAGGGAACTAATTATTCCAACAAAAATTAAACTATTCAAATCGGCATGTGAAACTTCATTCTTGAAATCATTCTTTTTAAGACAGAAGGACCAAAAAACCATAAGACACAATATGACTATTTACTGATATGATTTAAATAGTGAAAGTGCATTCTTTTTGAGGAAGAACACCCCAAAAGGAGAACATGAGGGCCTGATATTTCATAGATGTGTAAAACCCAAAGGATCTGCTTGCTTAATTCATCTGGATCGAAGTACAAAATCACAGTTGATTGTTTGACTCTTTCCAGGATTCCACTGTTTTCTGTCTGGAAACAGCCACGGCCATGGCCACATCCACAATTCCAAACTTGAGAAAATGACCCAGAATTCTCACAACATGTGAAGAGCACAGCGATGACCATCCTGTGAGGGTGGGAGAGAAACATGCCAAAGTACATTCTTTGTTGATGAGAAAAAATTCACCGACAATTGTAAAATTAGGTGTTTGGCACCATATTTAGCCATGGAGCCAGTTTTCAACTCACTTCTCTCCAACTTTTTCAGTGCCAAAGAGCTGCTCCTAATAATCATCTCAAAAATAGTCACTGTCACCTTCTCCAATTACTTCAGTCTCCATATTTCAAATTGAAAAATATTGGCCTTGACTGCACAACTTCTCCCAAGTTGCTATTTGGAAATTTACCAGATAAGCTTTAGGTCTATCAGTGAAGACCAAGATTAGCAGCAAAATCCCTCTTGCAATTTTGCTTGAAAGCTATTTTAAGAAACAAAGGGGCTGGGGATTATTCAATGACTTTAAGGCACATCAGAATCTGTGGGAGGTTTGAAGTCGAGGGTGGGAACGTGGGCAGGACTAAGGGAGCTGGTAAAGGCAAGGTTGAAGGAGACACAGCAAAACTCAGAGCAGAAGCATATGGCCTACACTCCATCCAGGTCCTGCAGTGAACAGCCTCCAATCATCTTACATCCTTGCAACAGTTGTTTGAATTCAAAGCTCCCAGAGAGAGGATCTGACCACTTTGATTTATAAGAGCAGGCACTTCCCTCCACCATCTGCCCTCCCCAAAGCAGCCCATAGTGGGAAGCTCCCTAAAAGACAGAAGGAGTACAATTGGAATGGTAGGATTGGGTGCTGGACAAGCGACCCCCATACTTGGGCCCCATGGGGAAGTCCAGTGAGCATCAGTTCAGTGGTTTGATTCAGCCATGATGGTTTATTGCATGGTGATCCTGAGAGCCCTCATTCATCCAAACACGATTCAGTACATAGTGATTAAGTCCTTCTGAGTAGAGATACATCGGTGAGCAAAACAGACACAGTCCCTGCCTTGATAGAGTTCACAGCCTTCTCAAATCATCCACTTTGACTTATAGGCCACTGAGCCACCCTCATTGTTAGAAGCTCACAGTTGCCATAAAACAATCCCATCCAAACCTTAGCCCTGGTCTGACAGAAAGTCTGGGTCGGAAGGACACCACTGCACAGACTTGACATACTAAGGACTGATATTCTGAGCTCAACTCATCTGCAAATTGAAAAATGAGCTTGAGCTCGGTGTGGACACAAGGAAATGCAGAATGTGACCATGTCACAGGGGACTGATCACCAGCAGGTGACCCTGAGGGGTCAGCAGACAGCAGCATAGCTTGCTGGAAACTTTGTACCTAGTGATATTAGTACATGTTAGTTCAAACAAACGTTTCCATTTTGGTAGATTCTTTTGTAAAACTGCTAATTTTACATTCGAAGAATGCACTGAACTACCTAAAGTGTGTTGTGTGTGTGTGTGTGTGTGTGTGTGTGTGTGCGCGCGCACATGTACATGTGCTCACTAGAAAGTATAAAAAAGAGTTCAATTTTTTTCCCTTGTTTTTCATGGTGACATCTGGGCATCCATGGTGGTCAATGTCATGGAAAACTCGGGAGCTTCCGGATCTAGTACTCTGTTATTTATCTGTGTTCATGGCCTTGGAGAAGTTTCCTAACTTTGCTGAAGTTTGTTTCCTCATCTATAATATTAGAATAATACTATCTATCCTTTGTCATGCACTGACCATGTGCCAGGCACTATGCTGAAAATTTTTAAAGATTTTTCCCCAAATCCCTTTTGCTTACTTTTTATTTATACTGATTTTGCAAATGAAGAATCAGACATAGAACAGTTAAGTAATTTGCCTAAGATCATGGAGCTGATAAGTGTAGGAGAGGTAAGTTTTTAATCCGGGTGTATCTGACCCCAGAGCCCATATTCCCCAACACCTCATTCTACGACTTTCTTACTGGGTGCTTTTGGTGGGACAGGATCAGATCAGGTGACCAAAACCCTCAAAATTCTCCTCCACAATCATCAGCGACTCTAGCTCCTTCTCATTGCTTTACCATGCTCAACAAGTGGTTTCCACCTCATGGTCTAAGAAGGCTGTTCACATCCAGCCATCACATCCACGTTCCAACTGGCATAGAAAAGAAGAGAAAAAAAAGGGGCATGTTTCTTCCTGTTTAGGACACTTCCTCAGAACTGCACAGAACACTTCTGCTTCCAACACAATGACCTCATGGGCACACGTAGCCACAGGGGAGGCTGGGCTATGTGGTCTTCTTGTAGGAATTCATGTGCCTCGTTTAAAGAAAAAAAAAAGTATAATTATATTATTAAGGAAGAAAGGAAAGGAGAGCACTGGAGGACAATCTTTGGTGCACAGGATAATGGAAATGATGAGGGAGAACGTAAAAGACGCACCAGTTCACTGCCTGGCACGTAGCAGGTACCTGAACGTAATGCCATCACTTATTACGGTTGACCTCCATCTGGCATCCTGCAGGACCCCAGCAGAAAATCACAGCTTCCAACCGTGAAGGAAAGGTCACAGGGAAAGGGCAGGAGAAGGAACTACTGTTTTAAATCACCATCATATTACGGATCGGAACTCGTTTCCCACACGAAAGCGCCGCCTCTGCCCATCTGCGGCATCCTGAGGACCGCGTGGAAGGTGATCACGAGAAGGAGCTTCAGCAAGCGTCCCTGGAGGCATCCGTGCCCACCACGTGAGCCACGGGGTGATGCTATCACAGGTGACCACCGGTAAGTAATTTCTACCGCAACCGTTCATGGAAATGCAGTTTTCATTACAGTAAGAAAATTGAAATCTCAGCCAGCCTCTGTGGGTTGCATCTGGCCCATTCCTCATTTCTCGTCAGATTGCGTGTTGTTTTCATTCCCCTCCTGATTAGCCTTTATCACGAAGGGTAGAGGGGGAGCAAGGTGATTGAAATCCCCAGGAAATCTCCACCTCACACTGCCATTCAGCAATCTTCCTCAACCATCCAGATACCAGGGCTCTGATCAAGTAGGAAAGGGCCATTTTTTAATTTGAGGTGGAGATATTATCTAGTAGGGAAGGTTCCAGATGGCTGGACTGAATTGAAGTGACAGGCAGGCAACCAGTATGGAAGGGGGAAGAGGAAAGGGAGAGAGGGAGAAAGAGGGAAAAATGGCGGCACTGAGGGCCCCAAGTCAGTGAAAAGCTCTCAAATGTACCGGACGACTTCCCTTGGGTGGGAGGTATTTGGGGCATGGATACTATGAATGCCTTTCCACACAAAGTATGTTCTCAACTCGGTTTGCCTCTTGCTCTTTGAATTGCAAACGATCTGTGGCTGCACAAAATTTCTCCTTTGTTGGAAAGACGTTAACTAAACATGCTGCAGGTTTGCTCCTTCGGAAGCCCCTTTCATCTCAATTCAGGGTCGCTGTCCCTCAGCTCCTAACCTCTCACGCCCCGTGTCTTTTCCTGTCACTGCCGGCTCCTTCTTTGCAGCTCATCTTTTTTTGCACCACCCACTCGGCAGAGTAAGCAAGGAGCTAACAGATTCGCAGCAAAGAGAACATCTGCTTAGCCACGCGAGTCAAAGCGCATAATTTCGTAATTTTGTTGAGAAAGCAAAAGGGCACTAGACATCCTCCCCTTGGCAGAGGCCCACCCAGTTTTAGGTTTTATCTTCTCCCTGTTTTTTCCTGTTACTGCTCATCATATGACCAAATGGGTCCTGGCTACCATTTTCTTAGCCCCAAACTGATACTCTATCAACCACGTGCAAGTAATTTCCAGAAGAGTGACTACGGTAAAAATCAGGGAGGAGGAAAAGTTTGATTTCAGCAGAGAGCCAGACTCAAAGTTTTCCCATAACCTACACATCTTCAAGCCATGACCAATTCAGCATGGAGTAGTGACGGGGAGATTCATCTACGCCATCTTGGAGAGCTGTCTGATTGCTCAAGATGTTCACAGGAGGGAAACTGCCTTGCCCCTTATTTTGTTTACTCATTCACGCATCTTCAGATTCTCCTTTCCCAGACTCTTTTAGCAGATCCGTGTTTTGCCATGACTGACAGAAGTTCATAGGCACTGGAGCTGCATTTACCTGTTAGTCTCTTGGAGGGCATGCTGTCCCCGCTTGCAGGCAAACTGGGATTCTGGAATGATCTGGGGATCATTTCACTGGTCAGTGGGTTCATGTTCCCTCTCCAAGCCTGGAAGCTTCCTTGTCCCCATTCTTACTCTCGAATATTATTTCATTTGCACCTGTGTACGCGGGAGACCTTTGAGCCTGGAGATGGCTGGACTGCCAGGAAACTGACAGAGTCCGACTTACCCTCATCTTTTCCTTTTGCGTCTCCGACTCCAGTGGCACCACGAGGTGTCCTTCAAGATCTCAAATACAGCGCTGCTCCCTGCTCCCTGGTCTTCTGCAAATGGACCGGCACTGCCAGAGGACAGACGGTGGACCAAGGAAGGAAAGACTCACGGGTTATGGATTTCAGAGCAATGAGGAACCTTAGAGACCGTCCATGCCTGTCACTTTACGGAGAGGAGTGCCACGGTCAAGGCTGCGCACAAAGCCACGGCAGAGCCAGGCCAAGACATGGAAACTCCAGCTTCTGATTCGGGGCTCTCTTCACTGTGCCTGGTGTGCCTGATGTAATGCCGGCTGATGGCACTCCCCAGACCCAAGAGTTCCCAACACTGTATGAAGACACCAAAGAGATGTAAAAAGTGGAACCGTTGACAGAGAGAAAGAGGCAGAAACTTCTTTTTATTCATGGCCAGCTGATGTTTCTGTTGGCCTATTCACGATGGGAGAATTGAATGGATCTGAAGGACGGGAGGACAGCAAAAGAAATGAAGCAAGGGGGTCAGAAGAACATGCCAAGGCGACTGGCCGCGTAAGCACTGGAAGCGACCCGCACGGGTCCAAATCCCAGCTCTCTCCCTAGCTGTGTTGCTTAACCTCCCTGCACCTCAGTGTCCTCAGGTGTAAAATGGACATCATAGTACTGTCTGCACTATAAGTCTTTTCGTGGAAGGTTCTCAGGACAGTACCAGGCACATAGCTGGCCACGGTTATATTCATTCCCAGGGAAGGAAGAGTGAGGGACAGCCACGAGAAAAACACAAGGCGTCTGTCAGGCAGACTGCAAATGAACCCCTCTCCCCATTTCTGGCAGTGTTGCTCGGAGAAAGTACAGTGTGATGCCAAGGGCCTGCGTTCGAAAAATGGTACGAGTGTGACGCTAAAACGGAGAGGTCTCAAAACACCGTGGCTTACAGGACAAAGAGGGTTATTTGTCCGTCAAGGCACAATCCTGACGTGAACCGTGCAGGTCACTGGAGGAGCTCTGTTTCTTTGTGATCATTCGGGAACCATGGTTTTTTCCAAGTGGTGACTCTGCCAACCCCTCCGTGTTCTTGTCAAACCGAATCAGCCCCATATCCAGAGTTTAGCCAGCAGGTAGAAAGGGGGTGTGGGGACGAGGCGTACCCATCATCTTAAGGCTCAAGCCACAACGTAGCACCTTGATGTCTGCTCACCTTTAACTTGCAAGAATTTTGTCATATGGTCACATCACCCCGACTGCAAGGGAGGCTGGGGACAGAGTCTAGCTGTGCAGTCACCAACCCAGAGAGGAGGGGAGAGACACCCACGTTCAAATCCAGTTCTCGTGATTACTGATTGCGTTTAGGGGCGAGTTACGGAAACGCTTCCTACCTCTTCTTGCTGTCTCCTTTAACCAGTTCTCTAGTGTCAATCACCCTTTGATTCTACGAGTATTTCCTGAGCACCTACTATGTGCCGGACACTGTTCTAAGTCCAGAGGACACAGCTTTGAACAAGACAGACCAAGCCGCCTTCGCTTTGAAGCAGATTCACTATAAAGCTAATGAGAAGACTTCCGGGAAATTTTTCTTTTCATTCCAAATCAATATTCATTTTCATGCTGAATTTTATAGTCTTTTCTTAAAATTGTTTTTCCTCTAAGTTTATTTATTTATTGGAGAGAGAGAAAGGGAGCACAAGGAGAGGAAGGCAGAGAGGGAGGGAGACAGAAGCCCAAGCAGGCTCCTCACTGTCAGTGCACAGAGCCCGACGTGGGGCTCGAGCTCACAAACCATGAGATCAGGACCTGAGCCAAAACCAAGAGTGAAAACCTCTCTTTTTACTGAGATCTCTCATTAGGATTGTAAAAGAAACAATAGACACCTAGGTCTTGAGACATTTTAATGATCATTTGGTCAGAACTTAAATATGCTCGAGACTTTTCAGGGCTACTTGTATCCACACTGTCCAGGCTTCTCCATGCCCTAGGTCCCAACTAGCCTTTTCTTACCTCCTACCCTGAACACCTACATGCAATTCCTTATCCTAGAATGAGTTCTTAAGTCACAGAATTTTAGGGTGAGAAGGAACCTTGGTGTTGATGAGTCCATTCCAGAGATATTACCGATCGGCCCTGAGACTCGCGGTGAGTTTACAGGCAAGCTAAGGGAAAGCCTTAATCTGTGCATTCCTAGGTCTGTAATCAAAATCAGTGACAGATGAAAGGTGCCTGCAGTGTTTTGTGACAGCAGAACTTAAGGCAGAAGCTGTTAAATAAACACTCACGGACGTGGCCTGCCAGATCTACCCACGTCGTAGGAGGTTATGAGCGTTCACTGAGATAGCACACGTTAAAGCACACGGAACGGCGGGAGAGACATTTATTTTTTTTTATTTTTTATTTTTTTAATTTTTTTTTTCAACGTTTTTAATTTGTTTTTGGGACAGAGAGAGACAGAGCATGAACGGGGGAGGGGCAGAGAGAGAGGGAGACACAGAATCGGAAACAGGCTCCAGGCTCCGAGCCATCAGCCCAGAGCCCGACGCGGGGCTCGAACTCGCGGACCGCGAGATCGTGACCTGGCTGAAGTCGGACGCTTAACCGACTGCGCCACCCAGGCGCCCCGAGAGACATTTAAACGTCAGTGGCGGATACTACTTTGGTGGCAGAGCAAGGGGAGTGTCCCAAGACCAGATGTGGTCCCCGTGGGAAAGGGCGCAGGTGTGGGGCACTGTGGGGTGGGCTCGGGGCCTGTAGGCATGAACAGAAGACCTCAGCAGAAAGGGGCTGGCCGTTATACCTCCGGAATCCCAGGAGCTGGGGAAGGAGTCATATGAGACCACCCAGAGGGATAGAGACCTTCAGCCTGGGTCAAGGGAACCACAGGAGACGGGGGGCCCAGCTGGAGGCCTCTGCAGAGCCCGTGACAGGGCCAGCTTTAATCATCTGCCAGGCCACCCCATGGAGGCCAGCTGCCGGCCCAAAGGGCTTAGGCCACCCAGCCACGTGAGAACGATCTTATTCCCTTACCTCTCCCCTTTCTGGGCTTCATTCCAAGCACGGAGGGAAGCAGCAGCCAGCAAGGGGGAGGAGGTGAGCAGAGGGGGAGGCGAGGAGAAGGGCCTTGCCCCCTTTCCCAGGGCAGGCTTCCAGGATGAGGCGGGTCTGAGCCAAGGGAGAAGAAAAGATTTCGGGCTAAATCAGTTTCAGAGTTTTAACTATTACCTGGGACTTAGAATGTCAAGGTCCGAAGGCAGGCTACTTCTTTGCAACTCAAAGGAGTATTGTATTATCTGAGCACGACAGCAAGTTCACTGGCCCAAGTCATCATTGGAGGGAGAGGGCTGCCGCCGCCATCGAATAAAATTGAAGGAGACAACGGGGGCCCCCACAAAACTTGGATCTGCCCCTACTGCTCCCAGGGGCGAGAGATGATAGACAGATGGAGAGAGAGAGAAAGAGGGGAAGAGTTCCATTTGGTTCACAATCCCGGTTTCATGCTCTTCCAGTGAGCCAGTTATACACGATTTTAATTTGACAGTCGTTCTGGCTGTGTCAAAAACATGCAATGGTATTTCCTAAATCGTCACTTTCTTTTTTTAAAAAAAAAAAAAGTTTATTTATTTTTGAGAGACAGAGGGAGACAGAGGCTCTGAAGCGGGCTCTCCACCAACAGCCGCGATCCTCCCCATGCAGGGCTCGAACTCACAAACTGCGAGATCATGACCTGAGCCGAAGTCGGCTGCTCCACCAACTGAGCCACCTGGGGCACCCCCTAAATCATCACTTTCTGCCAATAAGAAAGCGCATTTTTATTCCACTCTAGTGTACTCGCTCATGAGTTAAAAGTACTTTTTGGACTCCCTTTTAAACTTCCTGATTGCACACGATAGTTTTATCGTCTATAATCCTTTCACTCACTGAAGCCTCAGGGATATATATCATAGAGGCCATGTTGCTCCGAACATGGCATGAGCTCAAAATTGCAGTCACTGACTCCTCGTGTCTCCAGGCCACGGAGTCCCACGCGATGTTTTCATGTTCCTTGAGGCCTTCCCCATCACTCTCTACTGACAGATTACATGCAGTCAGGTCATTCATTCATTCATTCATTCATTATTTATTGGATTGGGTACCCCCTTTATGCCCAACACCCTGTGGGGTGCTGGAGATAAAAACCTGACAGCTGACCAGCACACAGACCCTGCCCTCGAGGCACACACCATCTACTATTTCATGATTCACTGGGTATTGAATGATTGTGATAACAGGTGATAAGGACCACGTTGGCATTATAGACAAGGTGCAGGGGCAATGGGTCAGATCAGTTTCACAAAAGAGAACAGCATCGGGCTAGAAGGATCAGTAAGACTTTTCCAGGCGGAGGGAACCCCTTGCATGAGTCAGGATGGCCTAAGTTATGCCATGGTAACAAAATGACCCTGAAACCTTGGTAGCTAAATATAACTAAGATTTATTTTTCACTCGAGTCACGTCCAAGGCCGGTCAGCTGGTTCGGGGGTGGGTAGGAGGAATAATAGGCAAGGCTCTGCTCTACACAGTCCTTTGAGGCCCGAAACGAGCAGAGTCCATACGCTCTAATAGCCCTACCATCCAGAACATGTGGCTTCCAAGCTGGCCCTGCAGGGAACAGAAAGCTGGAAGGTAACACATTGAAGGTGAATTCCTCAGCACAGAGGTGACAGAGATAATTTCCATTCCCACTCATTGGCCAGAACTAGTCACCTGTTTCATCAGGTTGTGAACTGTACAGGGACACGTGGCTGTTCTGTGAGTGTGACAAACGTCTCTACCACAAGCTCAAACACAGGAAACCATTTCCTACGTTTAGGAAACTGAATAGTTCAAAATGATTAGAGAAGAGAGTGCAGACAGGCAGTAGCAAAAGTTGAGTTAAGAAAGGTAGGGGGAAGGGGCACCCGGGTGGCTCATTTGGTTCAGCGACAGACTCTTGACTGTGGCTCGGGTCATGATCTCACGGTTTGTGAGTTCGAGCCCTGCATCAGGCTCAGCCCTGACAATGCAGAGCCTGCTTGGGATTCTCTCTCTCTGCCTCTCTCTGCCCCTCCCCCACTCGTGCTTTCTCTCTCCCTCCCTCTCTCTCTCTCTCTCTCAAAATAAATATATAAACTTTAAAAAAAAAAAAAAGAAAGGTAGGGGTAAGATGATGGAATCTTGTGTGCCTTGCGTAAGAGTTTGGACCACCGTATGTGCAAAGCAAAGCTTTTGAAGAGTTTTAAACATAGTATCACAGTCATTTTGCATTTTAAGTGCATCCCTCATGAAGCAGCATGCAGGATGAATTAGAAAAGGATTGAGACAGGAGATGGAAAGGCCAGCTTGATTCCCACAATTGTCCGGGTTACAGATGATGGAGGAACTAAAATAGAGTCACTGGGGATGAATATGAAAAACGTTAAAGAGACAGTCAGTAGAACTTCATGACTGATTCAATATGGAAGAAGGAGAAAAATAAGATGACTTTCTCTTTTGCTCTAGATGAATCTCGGTGCCACCCGTTAAGATAAGGAATATAGGACGATGAATGGGCTTGGGGGGAAAGACACTGAGGGCGATTTGGGACCTGAATTTGAGTTACATAACGTGTTTGTTATGAGCTGAATTATGTCTCTCAAAAATATATGCTTGGGGCGCCTGGGTGGCTCAGTAGGCTAAGTGTCTGATTGTTGATTTCAGCTCAGGTCATGATCTCGCGGTTCGTGACACTGAGCCCTGAGTCGAGCTCCACGCTATCAGTGTGGGCCTCTTGGGATTCTCTCCTTCTTTCTCTGCCCCCCACCCCCACTGCTCTCTCTCTCTCTCTAAATAAATAAATAAACTTCAAAATAATCAAATAAAAACTTTAAAAAAAGATATGTTCAGTGGGGCACCTGGGTGGCTCAGTCAGTTAAGCGTCCAACTCTTGATTTCGGCTCAGGTCGTGATCTCAAAGTTCATGAGTTTGAGTCCTGCGTTGGGCTCTCTGCTGACAGTATGGAGCCTACTTGGGATTCTTTCTCTCTCTCTCTCTGCCTCTCCCTCTCTCTCTCTCTGCCTCTCCCTCTCTCTCCAAATCAATAAACTTAAAAAATTTTTTTTTAAATATGTTCAGGTCAACCCCCCCCAAGAGCTCAAAATGTGATCTTATTTAGAAATAGGGTAGTTATAGATCTAATTGGTTACTATTAGGATGAGGTCATCTGGAGGAGAGTAGACCCTTCATCTAATGTGACTGGTGTCCTTATAAGAAGACAGCTAGGTGACCATGGAGGTAGAGATTGGTGTGATGTACCTACAAGCCAAGAAACACCAAGGATTGCCAGAAAACATCAAAATCTACAAGAGGCAAGGAAAGACTCTCCTCTGTGTTTCAGAGAGAGCGTGGCCCTGGCAACACCTTGATTTTTGACTTCTAGCTTCCAGAACTGTGAGAAAATAAACTCCTGTTGCTTTAAGCAGTTTGTGGTACTTTGTTACAGCATCCTGAACAAAGGGATACAGGCATCCAGGGGGAGCTGTCCAGTTGACAGTATGGATGAGGGCAGGCCCGTCTTCTGAAAGCCCAATGTGGGGTTACTAAGCAACACGGAGTAGGCTGGGGCACATGCTGGAGGGGCTTTCTCTTGCCCAGGGAGGCGAGGAAAGGGAAATGGGCAGGGAAGCATCACAATGAAGATGACGTTAGAAGAGGGCTTTGGAGGATAAGTTGGGATGTTTCTCTCCTAGCTGATGACAAACTCCCGGGAGCCAAGTCTACGTATCTGACAAGTATCTGACAAACATTTATTGAACACTCTTGCGATGGGCTCTGTGCTAGGCTCTGAGAGTATAATGAAGAGGGAACAGGCACAGACCCAATCTTCATGCAATTATAATTTACTGGGGGAGACAGACTAACGCCCGTCAGTATCAAATAACCAACCAGAAAAACATACAGGCACCCACTCTGGTTAAGTGATATGAAACACATCACCAAGTGTTAAGAGAACGTATTTCAAGGAAGTTGTTTAAGCCTGGAGGCTGTGAAAGGCTTTCTGAGGAAGCGAGGTTTGAACTGAGATGTGAAGTAAAGGAGTTAATTTTACATGAAGAGGGAAAGGGAGGGGTGAGTCCAGGCAAAGGTTCTGGAGCCAGAGGGGAGGCTCGTGCAGATTTGAGGATCTGAAAGAAAGGCAAGGTCACTGCAGCACAGAAAGGAGGGGGAGCTGACCCTGAGAGGAGGCAGTAGCCTGGAGAATGGAGGGAAGTGAAAAAGCCAGTCAGTGACTTTCAGCAGGGATCCAGAGAGACAAGATGAAATTTGTTTTTGTTTTTGTTTTAATTTTAAAGATCACCTTGATGAGAATAGTTGGAGAAAGTCAAGAATGGAGATAAACAGGGGCACCTGGCTGGCTCAGTCAGAGGAGCATGTGACCCTTGATCTTGGGATCATGAGTTCAAGACCCACAATGGGTATAGGGGTAACTTAGAAATAAATACATGGGGCGCCTGGGTGGCTCAGTCGGTTAAGCGTCCGACTTCGGCTCACGTCATGATCTCACGGCTTGTGAGTTCGAGCCCCGCGTCAGGCTCTGCGTTGACAGCTCAGAGCCTGGAGCCTGCTTTGGATTCTGTGTCTCCCTCTCTCTCTGCCCACCCTTGCTTGTGCTCTGTCACTCTCTAAAAATAAATAAATAAACTAAAAGAAAGAAAGAAAGAAAGAAAGAAAGAAAGAAAGAAAGAAAGAAAGAAAGAAACTTTAGGGGCACCTGGGTGGCTCAGTTGGTTAAGCGTCCAAATTCGGCTCAGGTCATATCTCCCGGTTCGTGGGTTCAAGCCCTGAGTCGGGCTCTGTACTGACAGCTCAGACCTGGAGGCTGCTTTGGATTCTGTGTCTCCTTTTCTCTGCCCCTCGCTTGCTCGTTCTCTGTCTCTCTCTCAAAAATAAATTGAAAAAAAATTTTTGATAAAAGAAATAAATAGACTTTTAAAAAAAGAACGGGAGCAAATAGAACTATTCAGAAAGTACTGCACCGGTCCAGCTCAGAGAGCACGTTGGCTTGAGCAACGCAGCAGCAGAGGAGACAGAGGATTGAAGTGTTTCTCTAAGCACTCAAGGGAAAAATGAATGAATGAATGAAATCAACTGTCTGTATCTGCAGCTATTCCACGCTCTTCTCTGTCTTCAGGTTTCAAAATACTGTCTCTCTGAACAGTGACATTGATGCCTCGGTGCAAAACATCGTGACATCTGATAAAGGCTTAGTCTATGAAGAGGAAATTAAATGGTGCTCTGAGGAGACGGTGATACTCCCTCCAGTTGGGAAGAGGGGGCCCAGAGAAGAGAGAATAAGAGGTTTGACCCCTGAAGATCTTCACAGGTCACAGGGGCCCCGAGACAAGGACCTATCTGAAGGGCCTAAGGCACCTGCCAGCCACTAGGCTTTCTCTCCTCTGATCTTCCCTAAGGAGCATGACTCACAGGCCCTGTGTACAGAAGGGACGTACGTACAATCGAGCTCTCCCAAGGCACCCTGCTGGGCAGCATTATCACTCGGAAAGAGGTTTCGAGCTTCTGTAGTTAGATTTTCCTCCGCTGTTGCACTTACCCTGAGACCCGGGGAGAATGAAGTCTGGACCGTGGCCTTCGCATTACACAGGAGGGTGTGCTTCTTCCCGGGGTCTGGCGCATACCTGCAGCTCTGCTGAGCATCAGCTGTCTAGCTCCTGAAGGAGGCAAAGCTGTAGTCCTAGGAGCCAAGAGACTTGGCCCACTTTTGCAACTTGGGATGCGTTGAGTTCAAATAAGTCGCTTGTTTGGGTACCTAATTAGATTTAAGATGCTGTACTAGGTGGGTCTTGAGTTCATTTTCCTTCTCCATCATGCCAAGGAAGGGCGGAGTTCAGAGGCATGAAAGGCAGTCAGCCGTCTTTGAAAATCCATAGTGTCTCACAGTTGATAGAATCTAAAGAGTATTGGGATATTGCTTCGAATCTTTCCTTCTTATTCTTGTTTAATAGATGCTGGAATGGACTCTCCGGAAACAAAGAAAAACCAGACTCTGAAATCTAAAGAACAAACTGATGGTCACCATAAAGGGGAGGTGGGTGGGGGCGACAGGTGAAATAGATGAAGGGGATTAAGAAAACACTCATCATGATGAGCACTGAGAAATGTAGAGAACTGTTGAATCACTATATTGTACACCTGAAACTAATATAACACTGTATGTTAATTATACTCGAATAAAAAAATAATCAAATCAAGGCAATGTTTTCATCCTAATTTAACCATGCAGGAGCTACTTATGAAATGATACAAATGACTGAATATTATCTAATAATGACATCATATCCACATTTACACCCAAATTCCAATGACTCCGAGCTCCCCTTGCCAAACAGAAGGACCTGAGCCCCTCTTTGAACCCTCCCTGTTATTTCCAGGCGATTCTGAAGGGGCCTCAGTGTCTTGGCCACAGGAGCCACACAGAGCTCTCCATCGGGTTTTTCTTCAGTGAGTCACCGTCATTGGGGGCCACCAAACAGAGCCATAAAGAGACCGCCCATTGCTGGCAGTCTGTTGGACAGCTCTGTTGGACAGCTTGCCATTTGGGTGCTGAGGCCTAAGCCCAGAGTCTCCCAGTCTTTCGTGAGGGCAGTCCCGTTAGACGATGGCTCCTACCCATCTCCTTGGAGAACACTCAAGCCTGATTCCAAGGAGGGTTGAGGACAAAGGCCATGACATCCCTCTCTCACCATCCCTGTTCTCTCTGTGGGGCTCCCTGCACACCCCGGGCCTGTGTCTCCCCCGTTCAGTCACACAAGCCCCAAGCACATCCACAGAAATCCAAAGAACTCCCTCTGCTGACTGCATCAGAACCTCCTCTCCTGCCTGCCCAGACACACACACACACACACACACACACACACACACACACACACGCAAATTAATATATGTATAGAAAAGGAGCCAAAAGGTCACACATCAAGGAGTTTTCACAATAGCAATGATCCCTGGAGGGTGAGTGTTGTTTGGGTGTTTCTCATTTTTTGTCTGCTGACATACCCCCTCGCTCTGCTTCTTTGTCATTATTTTACCTTGTGATGCTTTCATTATGTATTGATATGCAGTCTACATTTTATTATCTAATACTTTCATTTTTAAAAATCACTTAAGATATTAACATTTGGCTGATACCTGGAAACCCTCCAGTTTATTTTTGGTCTTCCTATAAGTTGCTTGCAAGCCTTCAGGAACTGTTCTTTGAGCGTTTATCTGGCTCTGTGTCTCAACCTAATACGGAAGCTGGCGAGAGCTGGCATCTGTGCGCCCTCACTGTGTGCCAGGCTCCGTGCCAAATGCTTTCCGTGCATTGAACCAAGCCACCCGCCCGAGAACTCTGGGCGGGCACTGTAACCCCCACTAACACTGATGAGGACACAGCTCTTTAGAGCCAACATAAACCACAAGGCAGCACAGGATGGATGCCAGATGCGTGGTGCAGAGCCCCAAATCCTACAGGAGACAAGAGGCCCAGAGCCCTTCGGTGGGGAATCTGGTTAGGGCGCTAGTCCGGGGGGCTTCCCGAGGCGTTGGCCAGCCGGATCTCCCCCTCCCAGGGAAGTCCTCTCCTTACCCCAAACCCCAGCGTCCTGGAAGAAACAGACGAGGGCTGGGTCCTCTGGGGAACCTCACCCGCTCCCACCCACAGGCTCTCGCGGAAAGTCAGCAAAACTCGGCCAGCCCACTTCAGAGCGGCCGCGGTTCTACCACGCCCGCCCCACCCAACCTCCTGTAAGAGCTTAAGTCAACAGGCGCCGAAAATCAGACGGCCATCTTGGGATAAGGAGAGGAAAAAAGTCCCCAGCAGCTGCCGCCTAATTGGCGTTCGAAAAGGAAGAGGCTTCCAAGTGCAGAAATGAATTAAATGAGCTTTTTTCCCCTTCAGGGTGGAGTACCAGCTCCACGTCTCCACCCGAGTCACACCCTAGCTGCGGCTATTTATAAGATCTAAGTGCCAGATGGAACTTGCCAGGGCGAAACAGAAAACAGAGGGCCGGACGAAAGGCAGAGGCCCCGCGAGCCCCGAGGGGAGCAAAGCCTGAGTGAGCGGCGGGGGCACCGCCGGGCGAGGGTGCGGAGGCAGCCGGTGCCTCCGCCGCCCCTCTCACCCAAGCGGCACTGCCCCAGCCGGCAGGAAATTGGGAGGGCGGGCTGTTGGATGCTTCTCTTACATTCCACAGCCTGGGGCCCAGGGCCGGGTGCTGGGCAGGGACTCCGGGCTGTACCTGTTGGATCAGGAGCAGACAGCAGAGTCCAGGAAAGCCCGCCCGGCCAGCGGCCAGCTGCCGGGCGGGGCGAGGCGGGGCGTGCCGCTGGGGTGGGGCCCAGGTCCCAGCAGAGGCTGGAACACCATGGAGCTTGGTGCTCAGAGTGCAGAGGCAGGGGCAGGGGGCAAGTCCTGGCTTCCCCTCTTACCTGGCATGACCTCATGCCTGTTAGGAACCCCTGGACGACTCTTATTTGGGAAACACTGGCAGTAATTAAACCAACTGAGTAGGATTGTTGAGAAAACCAAACAGTCAGGGCTGAGGAAAGTGCCGCAGCACTGAAACAGCCGCTGTCACTCTTGGACTTTTCGCCCAGATGCAAAAATGCTTCCGTGTTAGCCACTGTCTGGACCAGTGACTTGCAGGGCAAACTCAGGGCCCTCTCCTCCAGGAGGGCTGGAGGGCTTGGAGACAGATCACATCCCAGCTTCCCAATTCCATGTGCTGTGGGTGACCGAAGGCTGGCCTGAGCACACAAGTCACCTGAAACAGGCACCTGATGAGATCCAGGTGGCTTCCTCCTGCCCCTGCCCACTGGTCTGCTAGGGAGTTAGAATAGTTCCCCGCCCCCCCCCCCCCAAACATAAAGCTCTTTCCTCCTCCTCTGGTGAAATCCTCTCCTCCGCTCCCCCATTCAGGAACTTTCCTGACCCTCAGACCACCCTGGAGTTCCTTCCAGAATTTCTAGTGTGGCGTCATCCTGTGGGAATGGAATGCAGACCATGCCGGTCATTTTAAGTTTTCTAGTAGCCATGTGAATAAAAGTAAAAGAAACAGGGGGGCCCCTGGGTGGCTCAGTTGGTTGAGTGTTCAACTCTTGATCTCAGCTCAGATCTTGATCCAAGGGTTCAGGCCCCACATTGGGCTCTGCACTGGACACAAAGCCTACTGAAAGAAAAAAGAAAGGAAAGGAAAAGAAAAGAAAAGAGAAAGGAAAAGAAAAAAGAAAAGAGGGAAAGAAAGATGAGAGAAAGAGAAAGAAAGGTGATAGGAAGGAAGGAAGGAAGGAAGGAAGGAAGGAAGGAAGGAAGGAAGGAAAAAAAGAAAGAAAAAAAGAAAGACCATAGAGACAGAAAGATGATAGAAAGAAAAAAGGAAGAGAAAAAAGATGATAGAAAGAGAAGGAAAGAAAGAAAGGAAGAAAGGAAGAAAGGAAGAAAGGAAGAAAGAAAGAAAGAAAGAAAGAAAGAAAGAAAGAAAGAAAAAGAAAAAGAAGAGAGGTGCCTGGGTGGGTCAGTCGGTTAAGCATCTGACTCTTCATTTCGGCTCAGGTCATGATCTCACTGTTCGTGAGATCAAACCCCACATCAGGCTGTGTAGTGACAGCATGGAGCCTGTTTGGGATTCTCTCTCTCCCTCTCTGTCCCTCCCCTACTTGAGCATGCTCTTTCTCTCCCTCTCTCTGTCTAAATAAACATTTTTTTTAAAAAGCTTTAAAAAAAAGTAAAAAGCAACAAATGATGAAACTCATTTTAATATATTTTATTTAACCCCGTATATAAAAATAGCATCATTTCAAAATGTGATCAATATAAACATTATGAGACATTTTACGTTCTCTTTTTATGCTGAGTGCCCGAAGTCCGCTGTGTATTTTATACTTATCTCCATGCACAGTAGCTACGTTTCAAGTGCTCAGTCTGCACACGTGGCCAGTGGAGCCTGGATCGCACAGCACAGTCCCAGAGCGCCGGCTGGATTTGCTGTGGAATTGTTTGGCGTGGTCTCCAGCTCAGGTCTTCGATGGCGTCTGGAGAAGAGCAGGGTGTTAATGCCAGTGTGGGGAGGCTGGCAAGAGAGCCGGCAGTCAGAGATGGCATCAGAGACAGGACGTCAAGGCTCCAAGCGTCATGCTTCTCTTCTGTCTTCTCCTGGAGCCCCTGACAGTGTGGGTATTAGTGTCAGGGTGGGGATGGGTCATGGACACTGTGAACAAAACGTAAAAGCCACTGGTCCCCCAGAGATCTGGAGGGCAATGGGACCCCGGGACTTCTCTCAGAGGACATGGTTTCTGCACCTCCCTCCAAGTTCACAGCTGGAGTGAGGCTTTTGGCGGAGACCAGGCTGTCACAGTTGGGGAATAAAGGGATCTGATGAGGGAAGAAGCCGAAAGAGGAAAGATTGAAAGGGGAGAATCTTTGAACCACCAGCTGTAGGAAGAGTGACAGCCTTTACACACAGCCTCAAAATCTGGAAAAGCTTCTTTGGCTTCCAAAGTGTCCGAAACAGTGTTAGGTCTGTGGCCTTTGAAGGCTCTGTGTGCTTCTGTACGAGGAATAGTTTCCAAACACGTTAGATGAAAAATAATTTCTTTTTGTGCTCTGAGGACCTGAGCTCACTGAGGTCTGATCCTACCAGTGAATATGGAGGAAGGCCCTCCCTGAGGGGGAAGCTGCCCCAGCATCAGCTGTGCTCACGCCATTAAACCACAGGATTATGGTGCTTGTGCTTGCCTTGTGCAGAAAATGCTAGAACCTTCTAGAAGACTCTGAATGGGACCAAGATGGGACTTTGTGGCTGGTGCCTGCTAGTCCTGAAGCCACAGAGGTGACCACGCATGGGTTTGCACAGGTCCCCACCCACCCAGGGCCTTCCCAAGCCTCGGGTTGGCCTCACTTTCTGACGCATTCACTCCTCTCTGTTACTGCCCATCTTGTAGACTGCCAAGCTAGTTACTGAGAGGATCTGGAATCTGGGGAGTAAGAAAAATCACCATCTATGCTGCAGGGAAGATTATGGGGACAGTCTGAACCAAATGATCTCTTCTGGCCAACCTGGCCTCAGTGCAGCCCAGCCCTCACAGAGGCACCAGTTGTCCCAGAATCGAGCCAGTGGGCAAAGGTGGCGGGGGGAGGGGGGCGGGGAGTTGTCCCCGATTTTGTCTGGGATACTTCTATGTCCATCCAAAGATGACCACATGGACACCTTGTCCCAGAAAATGTAATTTCCCAGAGAAATTGCCACAGCACACACCCTTGAAAATTAATTTGCTTTCTTCTTATCACCGTAAAATCTCAAAAATTAAAATGTTCAGGAAATGACATTCTTCCGATAACTGGCCTCTTCTGATCAACAGGAAGCTGTTTTTATTTTAACCAGCGATGCTGAAAATCTCTGCCTCGTGGACCAGGGCCTGGCCTGCTTGTAATCACAGAGGACCCTGCTGGGCTGCGGGGCACGGTGAATCCAGACGCATGGGCTGTCGGCCTACAACACATAAGCCACCGCGTCAAAGCTGGTTCCAGGCCTGCGGCTGGCGTCTTGTTTCTGTCTGGTTTTAACCAGACCCCTTAGATGAACTCATTTTCTTGTAGTACATCCCCTTTCCCTAAACTCAAAGCATAAAAATTCTATTTTGAGGGCTCAAGTTAACCAGCTTCCACTTGAGAAATGGCTCTCGTTGGAGCAAAATGTCTGGCTCCCATCTAGGGTCTGACCATATTTTGACTCTGAGATGACTTTAGCATTCACTTGGCAAGGGCATTTCCATTTGGCTCCCCATGAAGTCACAGAAATTCTGGTTATTTCTGTAGTGTGCTATTGCCTGGTTTATTTATAAGAACCATCCATTGGGGCTGAGCTGTTCTGTGTCTGGAGGCACTTATATTATCACAGTTATGAAATGTTTATTTTCTTAGACCAGCTTAAGCTGATACAGCACTTTTGGGCCATTAAGAATCTTGTAAATCAAGATAGTTTAGATAGGGGACGATTTTTCTGATGGGGGCTAAATCAGCTGAATCAATGCCTCTCCCTTGATTGGACTCTTACATTAAATGGGTGTGACTATCACATGTTCCTTTGAGAAACAGTGTTGCCTAGTTAGGAAGATTTACTGCCAGCCCACTTTGTTTCTTCTGGCTCACACCCCAGCTGGGAAATGTAGCTTCCAGGACCTGGGGTGATGAGGCCGCCCCAGTGAGGCAGAGGAACCAGTGATGAATATTTCAGGGCCACGATCTGCAAAAACATTGGACACAAGAAGCCCAAAGAAAATATTCCACATTAATGAGGGTTGAACCAACTCGCGAATTTAGAACTTAAACCCAAAAGTCTATTTGAAGAGCCATCTGGCAGTGCCTATCAAAAACGGAAGATTTCACTTGTTCAGCAAAGATTTAAGCGCCTCTTCTGTGCCAGGAGCTGTTCCAGGATATAAAAGTGAGGAAGACAGGCCTTGCCCTCATAAACCTTGCTTTCCTGTGACAGGGGCAAAGAGAGAAGCAAATAAATATGCAACATGCTGCTGACAGCACCGTCATGGACGGGGGAAAGTGGGGTAAGGGGAGAAAGACCAGAGGGGCAAGTGGGGCAGAGGAGGGGGGTTACCCGTCGGGGTGGCCGGGGCCAGCCACTCTGAGGAGGAACATTTGAGCTGGGACCAGAACCAAGTGAGAGAGCAAGCCAAGTGACTGGGAGAGGAGCTTCCGAGGCAGAGGGAACAGGGAACACAAATGCCACGCGGGGAGCGTGCTGGCCGCAGAGCAGAGAGCTGGGTGTGTCTAGGGAAGAGCAAGTGAGGGGACAGGAGGGAAGGGAGATGACAGAGAGCTGGGGTGGGGTGCAGATCGCGTCGTGCCTTCCAGCAAACTGTCCTCAACATCCATCCTCTCTCCCTCCTTTTAGCCCCCCACCCCCCCCCAGCTGTCTTCTCGGGGCTCATGAACCGTGTGCTAGAACTCACATCTTCCAGTCTCTCATGCAACTGGGTGTGGCTTCTCTGTGGGGTTCTCGCCAACGGGCTGTGAGTGGAAGTGATTTCTGCTACTTCTGCTGCTTCTTGGTTGGGCAGTCACAGAGTGGGCTTTTATCCCTTCCTTCTGGCGGCACCCAGGGCAGGTGCTGGTGAGCCCACCTTGTCCATGAGGACAAGGGGAAGGGCCCTACACGGAAGGTCCCCGGGGCAAGGTTCATCAAGTGTGGTCCTAGACCTGCCACATCAGCAGCCCCTGGAAACTTATAGAAATGCAAATTGTGGGGCCCCACTCCAGACCTACTGAATTAGAAACTTTGGGGGTGGGGCCCAGCAATCTGTGTTCTAACAAACCTCCAGGGCATTCTAATGCAGTCAGGTTTCAAAACCACTCTACCCTAGAGCAGAGTTTCTCAACATCAGCAGCGTTGACCCTGGGTGTTGACCCTGGGTCGATAATTCTTTGTCGTGAGGGCTGTTTTTCATACTATAGGACATTTAGTAGCGACTCTGTCCTCTACCCACTAGAAGACAGAGGCACGTACCCCCCTCTCCCTCAGGTTTTTACAACCTAAAATGCTTCCACAAACACTCACATACACGTTTCCTGTGATACACATATTAATTTTTGGAAGAATAAATGATAAAATAGTAAGAGTGAGTACCCTTAGGTTGTAGCACGTGCGTAGAAGGGACTTTGGAGAACTTTGCTTTTATTTTGTAGGTTTCTGTTGTGTGCTTTTACCACAGCGACCACGTGGGGAAATGTTTTGGAAGGACCACGTATTGGAAAAATGGACACAAGGTTTCAATTCTTAGACGCCAGCTGGGTGTCCTACAATTCACTTGATTTAGAACTATCGACCTGGAAATAGTGTCAGATCCCATAGATTAAGGGCTCGATCCCACAAGACCATCCCCCCCTCTCCTCCATCCTCCTTCAGATGCCCATCACACATTCAGGTTGTCACCGTGCTTCTGACCTGTTGGCTGTAGATCAAAGTTCTCATGACCCCCTCCTTGGTGTCAGTTAATTTGCCAGAGCCACTCACAGAACTCAGGAAACCAGTTTTAGTTTGCTTACTACTGGTTTATTACAAAAGGCTATCTATAAATCAGGATCAGCCAGGTGGCAGAGATGGGAAAGGTGTAGGGAGGGGGCGTGGAGCTCCCATGATCTTCTCTGGGCATGCCACTCTTCCAGAATCTCCATGTGTCCACCAACCCAGAAACTCTCTGAACCCTGTCCTTCAGGGTTTTTATAGAGGCTTCTTTTCATAGGTATGATTGATGAAATCATTGGCCATTGGTGACTGATCCAACCTGAGGAGGAGGCCTCTTCCCTCCCAGGAGGTCAGGGGGTGGGGCCTAAAGTTCCAATTCTCTAATCACATGGTTGGCTCCAGTGCTTTCCAAAAGTCACCTCATTAACATAACACATGACACCTTTATTGCTCCCAACACAGGAAGTTCCAATGGTCTGAGGAGTTCTGTGCCAGGAACCTGGATGAAGGAAAAAAATCTATGCATTTCTTATTATTAATCACAATATCACGTCTTCCAGAAGACTTAGCATCCTTAACACATGCTAACCGAGTTTTAATCTCCCAGAGGAGCAAAATCCGAAATGGTGTGTGCCCCAGAGCACTTTGGGACGCTGCTTCCTGGAGCCCTCCAAATCTAGGAAACAGTTAAAAGTCTGGCCACAGCCACAGAAAAATTTATTCCAGGCATCTTGCTGGAATGGGCCTGCTCCTTGTACGTTAAGAAATATGCCTTGAGATATGACAGTTCTTTGAGGCAACTCTTGGCTGGCTCTAAGCGATTCTCTCTCAAGAAAAAGCTGCACAGGTAGTCTGGGTGTCTGTGGTCTGTACCACCCCTTGTGGCTGAACAACCTGCAAGTCCTCCAGGAGCTGGAGGAGGGGGGACGTGTTTGGGTTCCACTGCTGGAAACATGTTTTCACCCTCTCCACCCCATTCCCACGTGGCCTTGGACAGGTGCATGTCTGTCCATGTTCCCTGGAACACGGCCAATTGTCTGCCTTGCAGGGTCCCACCCCCTACTTTTTTGCCTTCTTCTATTCCCTCAAATGTGTTGAGACAGATTTTTCTTCTCCCCCTCACCTGCCCTTTTTCAGAGAATGGGGAAGGAATGAGGGAGAGGGGTTTAAATTTTAAATCCTGGTGATCCGTTCATTCTTAATCTTCTTTACTATTTACCCAAAACCTCCTCAGGCACATAGCACAGCTAGAGACCGAGCAGAAACACTGGAAGTTAACTGAGCCCACCCTTCCACTCTAACCCACCAAAAATGGCCATCATTCTACGGTTGCAATAGATCAAATCCTGACGGTGTCTTTCCTCATTAAATGAATTAATATTCACCTAATAGTACCCGGCAATATGGTGACTGCTCTCTTTTAGCTATTATATCATCATATTCTACACTCATATATCATCATATTCTACATTTCTATTTGTCCCTAGAATTATTTAGATTGTCAATGAACAAGTTTATATCATGAATGAGGTACAGAGAGATAAGCAAGTGGCATGAGCCACAAAGTATGGGAGGTCTTCATGGCAATTGGCAAGTGAGAATAAAAGATCACGAAGAAAGAGATAATAGATCACTAAGAAAAAAAGAGACTCTCTTCGCAGCGTTATTTCAATCACAGGTGTCTCCCACTTGGTCCATTGAGATTTTCTCCCCCAACACAAGTGGTTCTCAAGCTTTAGCAGGCATCAGAATTCCCCAGAAAGATTTCCAAAAAGACTGCCAGCTCCACCCTCTACAGTTTCTAAATTAGTAGATTGGGGTAGAGCCTGAGAATTTACATTTTTAACAAGTTGTCGGATGACACCGATGCTATTGGTCTGGGGATTACGCTCTGGGACCCACTGCCCTGCACATGAACTTAGAACCTGACGTTTAAAAGTGCATTTTGCTCAAATCAGGTCATGGGTCCAGCTTGTCAACATCAATCAGAGTCTGTCATGTCATTCACTGCATTTGCTTTGTGGTATCCATGCATCTGACAGGTTATGCCCCCTTGGTCCTTCTGTAGGTCACTGAGACAAATGTGGACCCGGCAGGCTAAGGACAAAATCCAGATAGGGTGATTAAACCCTTGGCTTTTAGTCTCCCTTCAAGCCATATAATCACAGCAGTAGTTCTCAATTTTGGTTAAACTTTAAAATCAGAGGGGAGCTTAAAAAGCAAAAACAAAACACAATGCCCATGCCCCACCTCAGACAGGCTGAGTTTGTCAACCTGGAGTACCCACAGGCACCGGTACTTGAAAAAGAAAAAAAAAAAAAAAGAAAAGAAAAAAATCTCCAAAGTGTAACCAGGGCTGAGAACGACCATCTAGAGGTCTTACTGGTTTAATGGGTTGAATCAACCTAATTGAAGTGTCCTCTGTCCATGTAACTTTAAGTTATTTAAGCTTTAATAAGTTAAATAAGCTTTAACTTATTTAAGCTATTGTGAGATGTTAAAAGCTTTGCTGGTATCAAGGTATGTTTTCCTACAGCTTTCCCTCTTATAGTCAGTCATCACAATTAAAAAAAATACATAAAATTATATTGGCCTAGTATGACATGGTCTTAGGGAATCATACTAATTTTAAAGATCATCTTTTAAATATGTTTACAATGTGATGAGGAATTTTGGCTGGGGTCAATTTCAAGCTCGCAGAATTGGATCCATTTAGTTATATAATCGTAAGGGAATGATAGCTACGTATGTATTGCTTAACTTTGTCTCAGTGACAGTGCTCAGTACTCTTCATAAATATTCAAATAATCCTACAAGATAGCTATTATTGTTTCTAGTTTACAGATACGGAAGGGGGGTTGGATTCCAGCTGACTCTGGGGCCTGTACTCTTAACCGCTACATGTTGTTTCTATTTATATTTTCCAGGCTCCATCTTGTTCCTCAAACGCTTTACAATGACTTACAAAGATATTAGCAATATGAGAAAGCATGAAATAACTGGAGTAAAGTAAGACTGGAGTAAAGGGTCAAAATGAGTCACGGGTCAGAACAAAATGCTTGCACATTTGCTAACGGAAGGGTCACCGATTTGGCTTTGAGTGTGCTGGAAATGTCAATGCGATGCTCAGTCGCACAGCTGACAATGGATTACACACAAACAGTGCTCAGGGGACGAACCTGAGAAGCCCTGGGGCTCTTTAAAGAAGACACTGAGGATTAAAGGAAGGTCTGCAAGAATAATCTCATGATTCAGGCAGACAAGAGCTTCGCAGGTCTCAACAAACCATAATTTACACCATCCGCTTCCTCCCTTCTTAAAAAAAAGAAAAAAAAAAAGGGTATTATGGCTACTTTTAGAATTCTACAAAGATTTCGGCATTCCTGTTTCCAGCACTTTATCCACCATCCTCCACTCGTTCCAAGAGAACATTGCGATTGAGCAATTCCTTGCTCACATTCCCTCAGTACCCCGGAATGTGATGTGGGCAGTCAGGATTTACCTTTGGAGAGTTCCACAGTCTCTTGATTCACCTTCCCTTTGGGGCTTTCATGCCATGAAATCACACCTAACTCTAAGGAGTGTCTTCTCCCCACGAGTTTCCCCTTGCTGATCATCCCGGCATGAAGCCGATATGGCCGTGTCCACAGGCTGTGAGATCTGCAATGAGATGAGCACGAACTGAAATAAAGAGGTCACTCTGTCAGGTAGGTGTCCATCGCGATGCCATTTCACCAATTCACTCCTCCTTGTAGCTCGATGCAAAGTCAAGAATAGCAGATCCCCCTGGGGCACTTGAAACAGCCAGTGGATGGGACCAATATTTTATCATTTATCTTTATGGGACTACAGAGTAATGGGATTTTTATCTTGAAAAATATTGGTATTTCCTTGCCATCTGAAAAAGAGGTGGCATTCAAAGGGTGTTGGGGGGCACCTGGGTGGCTGAGTCGGTTAAGTGTCCAACTTGGTTTCTCCTCAGGTCATGACCTCATGGTCTGTGGGTTCAGTCAAACCCTGCATGAGGCTCTGCACTGACAGCATGAAGCCTGCTTGGGATTCTCTCTCTCTCTTCCTCCCTCTCTCTTTGCCCTTCCCCCATGCATGTGGGTACAACCGTACACATTTGTACTCTCTCTCAAAATAAATAAACTTAAAAAAAAAAAAAGTGTGTTGGGATTTTAAGAAAGAGATCTCTTGGTACAAGATGCAAGGTTAGGAGAGAATTCTGTATCGTTTGGAAAGTACTCTTCCATCTTCTAACATCAAGCTGCCCAGAACACTCTCACCCACCTGCTCCTCAGCTCCGTCCTTTTCGGACCCTTCAGATCTCACCTTGAATACCAGCTCCTCAGCGGAGCCTACTCTGACCATTCTATGCGGGCAGCTGCCACCCCGTAATCGATTTTTGTTTATTTTAATTACCTATCTCCCCAGCTAAACAAAAGCTCAGTGATGGCAGACACTTACCTTGTAGTCCCAGGACCTTAATCAGAGTGACCATAGGAGGGGAAACCACAACCATTTGCTGGGAAGAGTGAAGGTAGGCAAGCAAGGGAGGTATCGGAGTTGCAGAGGTGGGGCCTGAGAGGCAGGCCGGTCCAATTCTCTTCACTGTGGGAAGACAGCAGATGAAAGTGATCCTGGGAATGATCACAGAAGCATATGGGGGAAAAGAGAAGGATCCCGAGTGAAAAAATTCATTTTGTCCTTTCTAATAACCAAGCCATTTAGATGATTGGAGCATATGAAACTTAGCAATAAAGTTGACTGCCATGTACCTCAAAGGAAGGAAAATGGATCATGTCATATCCTTGGTAGCAAGTACAGGAAGACCTAAGGTGGGCAGACATTTGATGACATGAAACAGACGGGGGGGGGGGCGGGGGGGCCTACCGCAAGCAAGCTTGCCTCTACTTCCCTAATATGCTACGTCATCATCTGCAGATTACTCAAGATGGCGCCTCGGGATGTCATCCTGGAGGGTGCTGAGAGCCAAAGCCAGAGTTGAACAGTAATCAGAGTCAGCTTCTCCAACAGTTGCAAGAAATGAGAAACACAGGGTTTTAGGAATAAGAGATGTCTACGGGAGCGGGAAGAAGACACCCAAAGTTGGTCAACACAGAAATTGGTCAACATAGATCTAAATGTGGAATAAGACAAGGACAGTGGCAGAAGGAAATAGCCAGAAGGGTGAGGAAAAGCAGAGGAATCCGACTGGGCGAAAGATTGTCAGAAAGTTGTTCCCCCTCACCCTGTCAGATTGTCCAGGCTATCTTGGTGGTTCTGAGGAAAGGGCACTGCAGCAATAAAGTGCGGTGAGTCACTGGCGCTATTTTTAATGCTCCCCATTCAGCTCCTCTCTGCTCCCCTCCAGAACCTCTGGGATCCCGAGGGGCTGTGGGAAAGGGGCGGGCAGTGAGACCATGTGTCTACAGCAGGCAGCTAGCTACAGAGTTGCACACCAGAACCTACTCCACCCTTGCACCATTACTGAGGGCAGAGGGCTCCAAGTGGGGGAACCAAGGCAAGACTACAGACAAGTCCTGTGGAAAGGGCCTTTCAGAAAAGGATGTTTGGAAGTGTTGCTGGGCTTAGGTCAGCTCTTGGCCAAGAACCATGTAAACGTTGCTCAAACAGTCTTGGAGATGCTTTTATAACTTGCTCAAAACTTTCCAAGTGAAGAGTTTGAGTGCTTTAAAGTCCTTGGTTAAAAAACATAAAATTTGTAACATGTTTCAATTAGTTTGCATTAGTCTGCCATGAGAGAAGATGGAATGGAAATTTACTAGCCAGATTTCAACAAACACCTTTGCATAATCGGTGAATAAAAGTGAATTAACGAGCATCATGACTTAACGTGACCAGCAGTGCCCTTCCTCCACTTAGAATTTGGAAGCCATCTTTTTTCCACCGTCGACACTGCATTAAAACCAACAACCAGGGGCGCCCGGGTGGCTCAGTCAGTTAAGCGTCCACTTTAGGCTCAGGTCATGACCTCACGGTTCGTGAGTTTGAGCCTCGTGTTGGGCTCTCTGCTTCAGTGCAGAGCCTGCTTCAGATCTTCTCTCCCCCTCTCTCTGCCCTTCCCCTGCTTGTGTGTGCTGTCTCTCAAAAATAAACATTAAAAAAGAAAAAAAAAAAAACCAACAAAGTGGGCTGAACTTGGAAGCTAACATTATTGCATTACTGAATCACAATCTTAAAGCCATATTTGAAATGACCACGTGTTCATTGCTTTCCTTAGAAACACTGGATATCAACATCTTAATCATTAATATTTTTAAACTATTTTGTTTCACCTCATTTAAAATTTCTATTTTATGATACAACTTACTAACATACAAAATGTTTTAATATGCATATAGTGGTGTAAAATCAAACTTTCCCAGTAAGGGTTTACAACCAACATAGTTGGTTACTCAGCTTAGAGATATACAGGCAGATAGTATGCAGTCTGGAGACCAAGGATATTCATCTTTTGTTACCAGTTTCAAATTGTCCAAAGAACAGTCCCTTGTGGCCGTTCCACAGCTCTTCCAATTCCCTAATTGTTCTAACCCTTTCCAAAGATGGCAGTGAAACCCTTTACATAACTGGTAAGTTTCACTTCTATAAAACCAAAGGCAATTCTCTGTTGTTTTAAAAACGTTACAATGCAAGGGTTTTCAAAAGTCTGAAGATAAAAAAGAAATGACTATTGGGAGCAAACACTCTACCTAATTTAGACGCTGGTGAAGGAGGATTCCTCAGCCTACAAGCCCACAGACAGGAGTGAGCCGGAGAACTCCCCCCACCCAACCCCCTTGGTTTGAACTCATGAAAAATCAAGGCCCCCTGAAGACCCTGCATCTTAGGAGAGAACCTGATTTGGGCTCCTAACTAATACAGATCATCCTCGTGAAAATGAAGCAGATCTGGGGCGCCTGGGTGGCTCAGTCGGTTAAGCGTCCGACTTCGGCTCAGGTCATGATCTCACAGTTCGTGAGTTCGAGCCCCGCGTCGGGCTCTGTGCTGACAGCTCAGAGCCTGGAGCCTGCTTCACATTCTGTCTCCCTCTCTCTCTGCCCCTTCTCTGCTCATGCTGTGTCTCTGTCTCAAAAATAAACATTAAAAAAAAAAGAAAGAAAATGAAGCAGATCTTTGTGGCTCTGGATCTTGCTTGATGTCACCAGAAACGATTCCCAGAAACCACTGGAATTAAAGGTGTTGACTATTAAGCAGTCAGGAGACTGGGGATCCATTCTGATCCTGCAGCTGACAATGAGGTGATTTTGAAAACCTCTCTTCACCTCACGTAGTTTTTTCCTCTATGAGGTGAAAAGTGGTTTTCTAGTATGAAGTAGAAGCTTCCCTCTGGCTTTCTCAGGCCAAGATTATTTTGAGCTATTCCAAACCCTTACAGCGATGTCAGGGGCAGACAATGTGGCCTGTAAATTATTTTATACCACATAGACTTTCTGGATCTTAATCCGTAGGACCATTTGGTAACACTTGACAGAGGCCAGCAGATGAAGGGGGTGGCCGTCCCAGATGCCAGCAGTGATCTGCTGTACTTTTTAGTCTCCCGAGATGACACCACCAGTGACTTCCACAGTCACAATCAACCTATGAATCTGAACTCTATGGATCACTAATCATAGATACTTGGATGGAGGGCCTTTGTAAAATGCCCACACATACATGCGATCTTTCGAATCAGGTGGATTCCACAATTAACTGTGGCAGTTTATACCAGGTCAACTTCGTTAAGCCCGAGCTACCTTTTCCAGGGCCCCCTTCCCTAGTGGTTCTAAGTCAGACACGGCTTAAAGGCATGCATGTGTGAGATCTGGAAGGCAAAAGTGAAGCGAGGGCCATTTTTCTCTGAAGGTCATCATAGTTAAAAGTGACAGACAGACACAGGGGTGCCTGGCAGTCTTCTGCTCCACCTCTGCTTCTCAAGTGTTGACCTTGGGTGTTGACCTAGAGTAGCCCCAGGCCCATACTAGACACCTGCCTGCAGATACAGCTATTCCTCGTGTGGCAGAAGAGAGCCCCAGAGAGCTCCCGTGTCCCACCTTGGCCAGGCCCAGTCTGACACCTGAGTGCGTGTTGCTTTTCTCAGATGGACCAACTGGTGACCCCCTCCTGATTCAAGTACCTCCCTCTGCACCTTCTTTTCTCCAGCTCCGCACACAGCAGTGTTTGGTGGGATTCCTGTAATGATCCTGTAGCCCATGGAGCTTGGGGCAACTCTTCTTTCCTGATTCACCAACCAAACCGAATGACGGACACTGTTATTCCAACCATATGTAACTCCTAAGAGCCACCCGAGACTGAGTGCTCTATAAATCGTGTGTTTCTGAGGGCTCACGATGCCCCAAGTCCAAGAGAACATAAATGGCATCAAAAGAAAGACAACCTTCAAGTACACACATGTGAGCATCTAGCTGGGTGTTGGGGAAAAACAGAACATGACATTTACTTGGTTTAAGAATTTGCTTCCACAAATCCTCACGCGGTAACGTGAATTGGCTCTGCAGATGTTTCTGGCTGAGACTCTGTCCAATCTGTATCCACAGGCCTGTGTTCTGTCTGCCCAGTGCAATCTCACAACAGCACTGGCTGCCACCTGCAACTCATTCCTGTTCCTGTTCCTACTCACGCTGGTGTAGAGGTGCTACAATATAACGAGCACTTGGTTCACAATACTGGAAAACAAAAGAGGCCAATACCAAAACCTCAAATGATTTCACTTCCGGTTAGGTGATCATTCCCACTCTGACCCACTGGTGCTCACCAGGCATTTTTTCGCCCAGGCTGAAAAGCAAAAATCCAAAGTTTACAAATAAAACAGACAAAGCGTGGGCATGGATTTATTGTTGTCTTGTTTCTTATTGAATGCAGAGTCCATGTTTTTGAGGAATAGGACGTCCAAAATTCAACATTATTAAATATTTGAACAATAAAATATGTGGAAAGAAGCCCTCAAATGTTAACTCCTCGAAGTTCTATCTGGTGGAATGACTTGGGACAGAGGCTCCTGGGCTGGTCATCTTGGTTTGTGAGGAGAACTGCTATCCCTTGATACGGGAACAGGACAGTCCCCAGTGTCAGCCAACTGTTAGGCACTGGGGACAGCATGTCTGTCACCCTTTGAGATGTCTGGGGAGATCTACGATGATCTCCAATATGAAAATCCTTCCTTTCACCTCAGGCTTAAAGAGACGCCTACCACTGAGAGAGTCACTAGAAGCCTCTGTGGACTAGAAGGGGTAGAAGGGCTATGATGCCAAAGACCAGAGTGACCCTGCCCTCACAAAGGGATATGTGCCCACAGAGCTCCTCTCTCACCTGACAGCCCGTTCTGAGAGCACTTGTGAAGAGGCCTCGCACGGTGACCAGACGAAGCCACGCCAACCGTGAGCGGTCTCTGCTTGTTGAAGGCACAGGGCCCTCATCATCCCGAGGGAAGGGACTGTGAGTTACATTCAAAACACACCTCTGGGGTGCCTGGGTGGCTCAGTCAGTTAAGCGTCCAGGTTCTGTGTCTCCCTCTCTCTCTGCCCCTCCCCTGCTCATGCTCTGTCTCAAAAATAAATGAAAACATTAAACAAAAAAAATTAAAAAAACACACCTCCTACCTCTGGAAAACTTCTCTCAGCTGCCATGTATTTGATTACAATTTTGGGCTGATTGCTTTTTTGAAAGTCCCAGAATCTCTGGCACCCATGAAAATCCCGACGTGCCCAGCTACTCCTGCAGGGTATACGATTCCCAAGGGTGGAGACTCAGAGGGACACACAGCTGCACTGTATCATACAACAGCAAAAATAAATACACGGCTATAAATGGCGATGAAAACCCGCAAAGAAATAAACATCTCAGAGTCTACAAATGAAGGCCGCTCGCTAGTAACACTTGGTTTGAGCCTAAAAACTGGTGATCTGCCCATAAAACATTTATCTATAGTGACTTGATACTTAAGAACGAAGCAAAAAGTGAAAACTAATTTTTTTAAAAGGCAAACTTCATTAAATACCAAGGACAGTGATAAATTCAAGATGTCCTAATGGTTATCTGGGGCTTCCATAGCCAGGACAGACAAGGGCGAGCCACACAGCCCGCCGGTGACGTGGAGGCTGCAGGCCCACGAACCTGCTGTGGAAGAGCGACGGGCCCACATCTGTGTCAGAGGACTCCTCTCCAGCCCTTCCTTCCGGCTCGTGAACTTCACAGCACTAAATGCTCTCTGCAAGCACAGTGATACTGAAAGAGGAAACAACACAGAAACAGAAAGGTGCATTTATTCACGTCCATGCCATCTAAACCTACCGGGTACAGTAATCAGGACTGGAGAAGGACGAAATACAACCTAAACGACAACAGAAACACCGGGACATCCATCCCCATGACTTGCAAGTTTTAGTTCAGGCCAGTCTGCAGGCTGGCAAGCCAGTCTCCTCCCTGAGAAGCACACGTCGTGCCTCGTTCTCTCCCTCCAGCATCTTCCGTCCCTCTCAGTTAAGGCCTGGACAGTGTTGGGGCAGGGCCAGAGTGTCTCCTTGGGAGCCATCTCCTGTGCGGTCAGTCCCCGGTGGGCCCGGGCCGTGCGAGGTCAGGCTCCGGGCCGCTCGGCTCTGCCGCCGTCTGCCTCCGAAGCTCCCCCACCACCTGCAGCAGGGCAGCCCGCTCCAGCTCCAGGGCGAGGGTGGCCTGCTTCAGCTTGCTTTCGCTGCTCAGAAGCTTCTCAACGGTGGCCTCCAGGCTCTGGATCCTACTGTTTGCCACCTGGGGAACAGAAGAACAGAATGTGGACTGTCCAGTGATAACATGAGGGGATCCACCGAATGCTCTGCTGTCTGGCCTTGGGGACACCTCAGAGGCCTATTTGGACAGAGAGAAGTCTATGTGTTTGTCATCAGTTCTTCTGGGCACACAGGAAAACTACATTTCCCAGGTCCCCTTGCAGGAAGCCTGGGCCACTCTGCGAGCCTCCAGCATTTTCTTCCCCTGCTGTGGTGACTCTGAGACGGTGGCTTCACGGCGCAAAGGGAGCCTGATCCCCATCACTGATGATAGGGAAGACGGTCTGATATGGGCAAAGAACGCTTCGTGAACAAGAGGTGGAGTTTCGGGGACAAAAAGACTCCTGCTGTGCCAAGCCACTGAGATGTCGAGCTTTCTTTATTACTGCAGCACGGCCTGGCCTATTTGTACGGATACACATACTCATACATAGACCGATTTCACCCTGATGATCAAACGGTTTCCATGTGAAGGCCCCAGCAGCACCAGTCCTTGAATCCAAAACCCTCTCTGTCTTCCTGACAGGAACCAGACACCAGCACATCCAGGAACACGGGCATTTCCCCCAGAACACGTGCGGAGCGCTTAGAAGGTCCGAGCATCTGTTACAAGGTCTCACTGACCGGTCAGCACCACCAAGATCAGCGGTGTCCTCACTCGCACCCAGTCTGCATCCTCGGCACCTGGCACCCAGTGTCAGCGAGGCAGAACTTCCCAGGTGCTTCTAACTACTGTCCCTCCTCTTCCCAATCCAGCAGGGCCGGCTTCTCCGGCACTGAGGGGCTTCCTGAGAAAACCACAGGAAGTCTGGCCTTCACCTGCTGCCGTCCCCCAGGCCTTCCCGGCCCACCCCTCAGCTCACAGCTACATCCTGCCGTGCTCAGGTCACGAGGTCCCTAAGCTGCTGCTCTCAGCCCAGCCCCGCACACGCTCCCGTTTATTTTGGGTGGGGAAAATGGCACATGTATTTTTTTTTTTCTCTCATTTTCAAAACAAGGGAAACAGGTTTTTGAACAAGACAACACTTGTGCCAGACAGACAACTCACGACTCAAAGTCTAGCTCTGGCTGTGCCGCTGAAACAGTCAAAATAGAAAGGAGAAAGGACTGAGAGCCTAAGTCTGTCTGCTTACTGGGCAGGTGCTCACGCTCAGTGCGCACCTGCAAGGAGTACTCTGCGATCCTCACATTCCCACCCAAAGTCAAGGCCTGGGACAGGTCCACCTTGTTCTTCAGGCCCACGGCATTCCCAAGTGTGCCACCCAGTTAGCAGTGAGCGGTTCTGCCTGACCCTTTATGTTCTACGTGAATGTCGGTCTCCTCAGTGAGACTGAAACACTTTCATGGAAGGAAGCACGTCTCTTCCTGCACATGGGTCTGGCCTCCCACAGCACCTAGTTCACTGGCACTCGATGACTCATAGCACCCTAGTATAACAAACGTGCATCCATTATCATCTGGCACCATTTGTATATTAACGCAATCGTCTTGTATGTGCTGCTGGACAAAGCGGGTTGAACTCTTTGCTCTCCAGCGGCTAGATAACATCAAATGTTTACCAAGAAAATAAATGGGACCTTGGTATGTCTGGAAACTATATGAACAGAGCAAAGCTAGAAAACAGGTCAATTTTGATACTCTGGCAAAAAACCCCGAAGATTTATGGTCAAAAACTATTATACTGAACACCTATCCACACCTACGCTTGGACTCTGAAAACTGTTTAAAAAAAAAAAGGAAAGGAGGTGCGAGTCTTACAGAGTATGTGTAGTCTGGCTGCACGACAGTAAACCCACGTGACTCACACATGGCAACGGGAAAACGATCTTCAAGCACCCCCAAACACCGCAATCCCTGCCCCAACTCTTGGACAGCAGCGTCTTCTGAACCTTGGTGGCCCCTGGCACGCCAGCAAGGCAAGGACCCCAAATGCTGGGGGGCGGGCACCTCTGCAGTCTTGAATGATACCCCCAGAAGTGCAGAGCCACTTGCTCAAAGAAAGACCATTCCAAGGAGGGTGTCAGGCATGACAGCCTGATGCCTTTCTTGAGGAATTTAGAGATCTCAACAACTTTTCACAGCTTCCTCTTGTCACGAAAGGGGTATAGTATCACAGAGGCAAGGTGAAATTACGTGCACCCTTCACCACAAAAAAGATCACATGGGCATCAGCCCAATAAACTGAATCTTTTTATTTCCGTACTGCCTATCTTAAGGAGCCGAATGCTTCAAATGCAAATCTGAGCTTTGTCAGAAACATTCCAGCAGGTTCTATTTCAGAGACATACTGTTTGTTTGGAAGTCACTTTAAATCACCACTTCAGCTGCAGACCATTACAGGCCAGATAAGGCTCTTTATCCCCTGGAGCCTCCCGTCAGGTTACAGCTGAGACACCCTGGAGACACTGTATGCAAGCACATTTTTGGTTAGGACATCTCAGTCTTCAGGGGAGAAAAAGCAGCCAAATTTCAGAATGTGCCTGGTAGTTAGGACTGGTTTCCCTAAAGCATTTTTCTTTGTTCCTCTACAGTAAATAGCCACCGGGGTCTCCTGGGGTAAATCCCTGCTGGGAGGAATGCATTTTGGACAAGGGTTGATTTATTAAGCTTTCAAACGCTGGCCTTTCTCATATCACTGCCAAGCCTGTGTCTGCAAAGCGGCAACTTTCTATGGAGAAAAATAAGAGGCTTAGGTCAGGATGGAAAGCTTATTATAAGGACAGCCCAGGAACACCATAAGGTACACACTTTGGGGAAAAATATGTATTTGCCTTTCCAACAGCTCAAAAAAATTTTTAAATACCCCCCCCCCCCAAACAATTCCTTAGTATTAATAGCATTACCACCCATTTATGGCTCTAAAGAAGTACACCATGTGGTTACTTCGTCCCATTTGATTGGTAAAGGGGCTGTGCTAAGCAGTTAGGGATTCCGTCTATGTCGTACAGATGAGGGAATTGGGACACAGCAGGTCAGCAGTGCGTGCCTTGTGGCAGTCTGGGCAGGGACAACACTGGACCTAGCAAGAGCTGGCTTTCTGGACTGCAACCCCTGGACTGGCCCATTTCACCCTTCTGTACGCATCGTCTGTTTGCCTTTCCGCCGTATGTCCTCATGCACATTTATCCATGCTAAAATGGAAGCTTCTAGAGGGAAGAACAGTGTCCTTCATTAATCCAATACTTGAAGTACGGACTCCCAAATCATGACCACCACATGCTCTGGTTTATTTTGTAGGTAGATTTCTGCGTTACTGCTCTCCACGACCTAGCTGGCTTCACTCACAGAAGCCCAAGCCTTTCTCTGGTTATTACTCAAAGCACAATCGCTGGCATTCAGCGAAGAGTCCCTCGGCATCCTGGACCCAAGGTCGTCGCTGTCCCTGTCTCCTAAAAGGATCAAGTGCAGAGACAGCCTCTCAGAAAGTTCCAGGACTGTCTGACCCCAGCACAGGATAATCTGTCTGCTTCCTAATAAAAAGGCCCAATTCTCCTGGGGTACCTTTGATCCCAACTATAAACAGACCAGGGGTGGGAGAGAGGTCCTGTGGTCGTGGGAAAACCCAGCCGGCTGGTGCTTTGGCACGCTAATGATCTACCGTGCTTTCCAGGCTCAGGAAGCTGCTTTATACACGTGCTCACCTGCAGTTGCTCCAGTAGGTCAAGGTTCTGTTTGCGCAAGCTGCTGTTGGTCTTCTCTAATTTGTCCATTCTTTGGTTGTCACTGAGAGGAGAGGAATCGATAAGTTCTTCTTGAAGCACATGGTACTCGACCTCATAGGCTTGTAACTGCTTAGAGATATCCATCTCAAACACCTGTTATACACAAAAAAAGTCATCAGGCACTGAAAATGAGAAAAATACACGTGCACACACATGCAACCGTGTCGACAAGCATCCACTAAGTACCCACTCTATGCCTGGTTCTTATTATTAGTCATTAAAAAAAAAAAAAAGGAAAACCCTCTGCATTAGTAAGGTAACAATTTTACTTGGGAAGAAAAAATAAAAGCAGCATTTAGAAATAAACCCAAGGTAACAACAAGTGTGGGTCTCTGATACTCATTTTCCAGAAGCCAAAACTTTATTTTTCACAAGGCTTATAAAAATATATTTTTAGTTCTTATTTCAGTACGTATTTCCTTTTTCTCTGAAAATTCTATCATGTTAGATACGTCAGCTATGGGTCAAAGAGAGAGGAAAAAAACAAAACAAAAGAATCATAGCCCTATTTGCCCAGTCACCGAGTCAAAGTTTAATTATAGTTCAGTTGGGTTTTTTAGAGTTACAAGAACAGCTAAGTAATGGAACTGTTTACTAAAAAACCCTCCTTTGCACACAAGATATGCAGAAATGAGCCAAACCCCAAATGCCGCCCACACAGATGAGTGCATGTGAAACACTGCCTTCCTGCCTAGAATAGTGACAGTGATCAAAACACACCCGTGTGAACAGCAGCCCCAAAGTGCGCAAGTGAGTTGTTCAAGTTTGTACTTTCTCTTGATGAGTGAGCTGCATGGAAGCTGGGCTCAAGAGGGGGTCAGGAGGCAGACGCTGCAGCCGCCCAAGGCGCGTCCTCTCTTCCCAGCCTTTGCTGTGGGATCGCCCCACGGGCCGTGCCTCTCGGCACACAAGTGACGTTCCAACATGACTGTGTGTGCAGCTCTGAGCCTTTAGTCACGTTGGGACCACAGATGGCCAGCACCATCAGAACACACATTTAGAGGACAAAGTTAGACTTTAGAAGGGCACAAAGGGACTCTTCACTGTCTTGCCTTAAGAAACGCCAACATAGTTAAAATCAATGAAAACTCATTTCCCCTGATGGCACCCTATCAGCATTCAAACACAGATGAATCCTACCTTCCCTGAAAGCAATTTTCAAAATCTAGGTTTACTTTCACACCATTCCCAACAATCTTCTCTTCCTTGTGATTTAGTTTTTTAGCTTCCTGCTTTTCAGCTTAATTCAGTGGACAGTACCAATTAGGCACAAAAGTTATTCTATGCTGAGAAACTAATACACGGCGTGTTCGTGGCACGTATGTGTGTGAAAGTCTGCGGCGCTGGTCGGAGTCTCTGTTGTCCCTCAGAGTACCTGTGAGGTCAGCAGGGATTATCGTCTCTATGTTACAGTCAAGAAAACGGACCCAGCCCCTTGAAGCAGGGCTCCACTGGCGACTCCCTGAATGACCTCTCCCGGCCTCAGCTCCTGGCCTCTGACATGGGGGTGACAGCACCCACCTCCCGGCATCGATGCGGGAGTTACGTGAGACAACTCGTGGAGGTGCCCGGCACATGCTGGCAAGGTGAGCAGGTGCTGGCTTAGCTAAGGAAGCTGCTTCCACATGCTTCACATTCAACCCTGTGCTTCAGCAAAATCGCAAAGGATGCCGCATCACGGAACCTCTGAATAGCTCAGAGTAAAAACCACAAACATTAAAACCGAGATTGCTGTGGCACTGTGTATAATTATAAATATGAGGCAGAATAAATGTCATACCCACACTTTTTTTCTTCCACAGAGATTTTTTAAATGAGCTACTAATCTGGAAAACCTGGGAACAAAACCTGTGGCCTTTAATGCAGATTGACGACCTGCTAAGGTTAATGGCTCTCAGCTGGGCCCAAAGCTGTAAACTCTTTCAGGACTCCATCAATCCCCAGGAGCCATCCTGGGTCGTAATCACTGCCGCTTAACTGCACCATTATCTCCTGGGGGCTGAAACACTTAGAGCCCTTGATTCTGCAGTTACGCCCTAGAATTGATCTCAAACCGTGGCAGTGTGTGACTGGTGGAGAAAGGAGAGCCCAGGTCCTCGAACAGTGCTTTTTCAAGTTGCTCTAGATTTTGCATTTCTGTAATTACCAATGGCTTCGTTATTCTACGTGCTCAACATGTCATAACCACGTGGACCCATTCATCAAGCACTGGATATCTAGTTACTCGCAAAGTTTCTGTTGTTTTAAATAACAACCCTGAACATCCTTGTACATATGGCTTTTCCCATATTTTGGATTATTTCCTAAGGATACATTCCAAGAAATGGGATTACTGAGTCAAAGGGTATGAATATTTTACCGGCTTGTGATACACATTGCCAAATTGCTTCCCAAATGGGAATCACCAACGCACAATGCCATTAACAACATGCCAATGTGCCAGATACAGTATGCCCTCCGCACTGGCTACTGGCCTTAAAATTTTTCATTTTGTTAATCTCGTAGGTAGAGCGTTACATGTTTTTTAAATTATGCATGACGCGAAATATTTTCGCAGATATTTGCTTATTAGATGTATCTCCTTTTTAGTGAATTGTCTGTTTATGTTCTTGGCTCATTTGCTATTGGAGACCCAGCGAGTTTCTCTTTGCAGTCTGTGGACACTCGGTAGAATGAAGCCATTAACCCTGATGTCTGCAGAACCAGCCACATACTTTCCACCTTCCCCACCTCCAGAACCCTTCGCTCCCCACAGCTGTCTGTCTGTCCGTCTCAGTGGCATACCAAGGGCTGGAGGGTGGGGCAGTGTGCCCGGTATCGGCAGTCAGGGAGTACAGTGCCTGTAGTGAATTTAAAAATAATAAACCCAACTAAAAACCGGTCTGCTTTTTATTATCACCACATGCAAGCAATTCTTAACAATACCAGTGGTAAAATATTCCTCCTCACTGTACCCCACCCTTTTGGTATGGCACTGATTGGCCTTTTAAAAAGTACTCGTTTTCAACAGTAAACTGCCCAAGCGGTGAAGGCCCCTCCCGGTGCAGAAGGGGCGGCCTCAACACGGTGATTTTGAGGAGCGTCTTCTGAACAAAAGGGACCTTGTTAAGATTCTGGTTTCTATCCTACAAGCTCAACTAGAACAGGGAATTGTCTAGTGTGTTTTTAATGAAGTTGCCCATAGCAGAGCTTTTCAAATGTTCCAGTGTGTGTGAATACCCTGGGGATCTTGTTAAAATGCACATTCTGACTCAGCAGGTCTGGGGTGAGGCCCCAGATTCCGCGTTTCTAACAAGTTCCTACATGATACAATGACACACAGTGCTGGTCTGGGGCCACACTGTGAATGTAGCCCAAAGGATGTTGAAAACAGGCTGTTTGCTCTGTCTCCCAAAGTCCCTCTCCAACTCTGTTGTTCTTCCCTGCACGGCAATGAGGCTGCAAAGGCAGGCGGCACTCACCGTGACAAGCATACAAACCACCCAGACTCTGCCCATTCGTACACAGGACCGAATGCTCTGTCATGTGCAGTGAATAGGTCTTTCACTTCCACTCTGTGGACCTCCAAGATTTGAGCTTGGGGGTCCTCTGAGGCTGCAGGAGTCACACTGTACCTCAGGCCTCATCTCTGTGTAGGATTTGAAACCAGAGCACCCTCTGGAGGTGAGGGGCAGTGAGCTGCCTGGCATTCTAACAGCTTCCCGTCAAGACTTCTGGCAGGTTGAAAATCCGGGCCCAGAAACAGATTTTGTGTTGTCTGCCCTGCTGCTCCCAATCCCCAAGCGCCCTCCCCTTCAAAGCTCACTGCAGAGGCATCTAGAATTTCTATTCTCACTCCCCTGCCTGTGATCAGGCATCAGCAAAGTGCGGCCTGTGGACTGCCATCTGTCCCACTGCATGTTTTCATAAAGTTTTATTGCAACATAGTCACGTCATTCATGTACATATTATCTGGTTGACTTTGTGCCTCAAAGACAAAGTGACTAGTGACTGCAACAGAGACCTTCTGGCTCACAAAGCCCGAAAGACTCCCTACATGGCCCACGACAGAAAATGTGTGACCTCTGTTCTTAGCTGATTCTTTGGGCCCAGTTGAATTCAACTCCCCCAATTCTCAATCAGCAATGTTCACTCCACCAGCTCGAGGCCCAGCTCCCATAAGCCCTTGCACAGGCACTACTGTGGCTCTTACCACACTTGAAATTACTGGATTACATGTTTATTTTCTGCACAGGATGGGCTCTGGTGTCAGAGACACCTCACATTCTTGGCTTTGCCACTGTATACAGAGCATTGGGCATGTTACTCTTTCTATGCCCAGTTTCCCCACCTATAAAAATGGGGATTATAAAACATGCCCCAGGGTTGTCAAGGAGTCAACAGAATAAAGGATGCCAAGTTCAAGACAGTTGCCTAGAACGTATCTCTCACACTCACTCACACACACACACACACACACACACACACACACACACACACACACTGTTCTCTCTCCATGCTATGTCCACTTCTATTCTTTCAACATTTAGAGAGAACTTGATACTGTGAATAAATATTCTTTACAGAAAAGGAGGAAAAATGGGATTCTTTTCTGGGGCTCAATATCTAGGAGGTGAACTGAATGTTAGTTGAGACTGCCTGTCTTAGAGCCAGGAGCCAGGTGCAAAGTGAAGGCATTCACTGGCACAGACTTTAGGTAGCCAAGGTTTTATGCCCCAGCAGCCATAAAGTAGACATATATGCAATGAAAGCTCTAACAGGGAGTCCGTCCGTGCACATGAATGCCAAAAGTTAAAGAATCAAAAGAGCTGAGAATTCAGTATTAACACACTGGTGAAATAGAGAAAAATTCTGTAATTAAATGACACCCGGAGACACTTGGCGGTGTTGAGTAGCTACTAAACCACCTGGAGGCAAGAGAAACCCTCCCGTCCTGCTTTGCGGCAGGGCGACTATGGGCCAGTGAGTTTATCTCTCCAGGCCCTGAGATCCTCATGGGTTAAGTCCATCTATCCTCTCAGGAATTTGGTCATGATTAAATGAGATCATGTGTATATGTAGATTCACACAGAATCTGGCAGAAAGTAGGGCCCGAACAAGCCAAAGCTATTCACATGGAGAGAAACGTGCCAGGGAAGCAAAATACAGAGAGATGCAGAGCCTATCAATTAACTAAAAACGGAAATGCAGAGTGGAAAGGCAGGGAGTGCCCTCTCACACAGGCCCAGGAAACGTGTAGAGACCCAGAGCCACACGGCTGCCACCTGCCCCCACCCCCACCCCAGGTCAGGACTGCTGCTTTCTCAGTGCACAACACTGAAGGAGGAGCAGCCAATGAGACCACAAACACGCCATGTGGGTGCAATCCACTGGGGTCGCAGCATTTCTCTGGGACTATCAGACATCCTCAGAATAAAGATTTGTTTAAAAAAAATAGCTTTGTTTCACTACTTGTTTTTACCTGACTGCTCTACGTTTTCATCGTATTTTGAGCAGGTGAGACAAGTTCTAGGCTTAGAAGGGGCCTGACTATTGGCCCTGATGCAGAAATCCCTTCCAGAGCATTTTCTAAGCCATCCGGCCTCTGGACACTTCCAGCGGTGATGCACCCTCTGCCAAACAGCTCAGTCCTTCAGAGTCAACAATCATTACTAGTAGATTCTTCTTTATACACAGTCAAAATCTGCTCCCGCCCCTAGCCCAGGCCGGTTAACAACTGGCCTTGGTGTAATTCTGGCTCAATCCACCCTCACCTCATGGTTCGGCTATCTACAACAAGTGCTGAGGTCACAGATGGGGAGCTGACTTCCACCTTAAAAAACCACATCATGGAACAAACTTCTAGAATATATATTCTCTGTCACAACTTTGCTATCAAAGGGTTGTTTTCAGAGAATTCCAAACAATACCACGCAGCAGAAAAAAAATCAAAGCATGCATAAGAGCCTACATTGAATAGCACATGTGTTTCAGAAGAACAAACAACTAGGGGTGAAGCCTCTCGATTACAAGAAACTACTGGTGGCTTGCGGTTATTGCACCTTAACACCGTCACCGTGTTTCCATGTGGCGTACCCCCGTCACATTCACGCACCGCATCACTGAACACACATCCGGCTATGTGTTTCGTGTGTGTACACATGTGTTTCCCACATGCCGGGCATCACACAAGATACTGCCCAGGATACAAAGTGGTAGGAAATAGGTCCCGATCAAAAGAAAATTAAGCTCTCCATATCCAGGATGGCTTAAGCCTGAAGGTCGGATCGAATCATACCTGACTGATGGTCTTTTCCATTTGCACCAAGCCCAGGTTGGGAAGGGTGTTTTTTATAAAGTCAACTATGGTTTCTAGGTTTTCATGTTGCAGAATCAAGGGCTTATGGCTTCCCAACAGACTTAATGCCACTTTAAATATGACCTCTGATCCCTGAAGAAAGATCATATCTGGGGAAACACAGAAATGCAGAAAGTTAAAGCAGACCAGTTTCTGATGAACTAACATTGCATTTTCTTTTCCACACATCAGAGCAGGATGGTGGGAAACGTAAGTCCAAATTGCAAACTTTATTTCCTTTTTAAGTGCCTGATATTTCAGATAAGGTTGTCAAGACAATATTGCAAATAATAGAAGAAATATAAATAAACATACTGCTAAGATTTTGTCATAGGTTAAGATAAATCTTTTTTGTTGTTGTTCTAAAAACATATTAAATTCAAACATGCTTCAGAAGTTAAACTGAGAAAAAGAAAACTTTTTATCACTCTTTTTCTAGAAATGCTCTGGATTTTAAAGGAGTTACTAAAACACATTTTTATGGGTAAAACTGAAAGATTTTTAGATATAAAACATGAGAAAATTTTTTTTCTTTTTTTCAACATTTTTTTAAATTTATTTTTGGGACAGAGAGAGAGCATGAACGGGGGAGGGGCAGAGAGAGAGGGAGACACAGAATCGGAAACAGGCTCCAGGCTCCAAGCCATCAGCCCAGAGCCTGACGTGGGGCTCGAACTCACGAACCGCGAGATCGTGACCTGGCTGAAGTCGGATGCTTAACCGACTGCGCCACCCAGGCGCCCCGAGAAATTTTTAAAAATGCTCCTCTTTCCTGTTTTGAAATAAAGAATTAAAAGATCTCTAAAATCTATAAAATGTCTGCAGAGTTGCAAAAGTACATTATTAAATACTTGCAATACACTACATTTTAGCATAATAATGGAGTGAAAACCATCTTTGTTCAGAGAAATTCAAAGAACTTTGTCAGAGTTATTTTCTAGTTCTTGTCATAGCTTTTTCTTAGAACAGCTGGCACATGTTAGCAACCCCTACATGGGCTGTACATGGTGCGAGGGAGGGCAAGTGGCCCGGGGAACTGGGCGAGCAGCCAGTCCAGGCCTGGCGCCCCCTCCTCAAGAGCTGAAGCCACTCGAGAAAGAGTCAAATTGTTCTGAGAATAAAACATACAGCCCTACCAACGAACTGTTCGGTGACTATATTCAGGCAAGTTATCTAACAACTGGAGTTAACAATACAAGAAAAAAATACAACTTTAATGATGAGAGCCAAAAATCTAATTAAAGGCCACCTGTCAATTTGGGGGGGCACGGAGGGGTGGTGCTGCAGGACAATGGAAGAGACAAAGAAGTTGTCCATCCCATCAAGTTGGGGAAGGCATTAGCAGGTGAGAGAAGGAGTCCCCAGCCTCGCTGGGTGTCTCTAGGTGGCTCAGTGCGATAGCACAAAAAAGCCATCAAGAAACAGGAGAGGCTGGAAGCTGCCGCACACACAGGGAAGATGTCTGAATCGGAGAGGTCTGTGCACAGGGCACACCTAGGTGCCAGCCGGCTGGGTGAGCCCTGGAGATGCTCCGTGACCTTCACCGAGGCCTCAACTGCAGAAGCAGACTCGGTGCCAGGGTGCGTGCCACCCGCCGAGGTCCGCCCCGCTCTCTCACAGAGCTCAGAGGCACACTGTTTCCACAAACATCGCAGTGCTCATGGCTCGGGAGGCCCTAGGAAGCTGGAAAGGACGGAGGGCTGCCTCCTTCTTAGGTGTGGCTGTAGAGGCTGGGAAGATAAATTAGCGAACTGATGGGATCTTTGAAATGTGAGCTTCTTAGGGGAAGTATTACGGGTATCGAGACCGCCCTGTGGAAGAATATTCTTGTGAAATGTCTGCTTTACAAAATACACAGTCTAACTGTGTAATTCACCACTATAGAAAATAAAAAAAAAGATCTAAAATAGCACAATAACTGAGATGTATTTTTAAACAGAAATGACATTTCCCCCAAAACAAAACAAGGTAAAGGTGAAGCTTCTGTGGTTTAGCCAGCGAGACCTCCTTTCAATATATCAACATTTATAGCCGAACAAAAATTGACAGCATCTATCAGAATACCAAGCCATTCTGTGCAAGGTCCTAGAAAAGGACTATGGCACCGGACCGAATGCCACAGCTTAGTGCCTTTAGTCTCTGAGAGACGCGTACCTTAAAGTTAGATAGAGTGCTGCATCTAAGCCAATTAAGATACATAATTATTGGTGAAGTTTTAGGACCATTATCAAATATGCAATCAATATCAGCAATCTTTTTTCCTTTAATGTTTATTTATTTTGAGAGAGTGAGCAAGTGAGCACGGGTAGGGGAGGGGCAGAGAGAGAGGGAGAATCCCAAGCAGGCTTTGCACTGTGAGCGCAGAGCCCGATGTAGGACTCCATCCCACAAACCATGAGATCATGACCTCAACCGAAGAGACCCTCAACCGGCTGAGCCCCCCAGGTGCCCCATATCTGTGGTCTCTTAAGGTTGACATCGGGTCTTCCAAATTTTGTTCTCCTAGGATCTTGGTTTTTATAACAAATCTACTTAGGAGAGTGCTCCCTAGCATTATAAACTTAGACTTTTCTGGACTATATGAAGAAAACAAAGCAAAACAAAAAGTTGGGGGAGGCACTTTTTTAAAACATTTTTTAATGTTCATTTATTTTTGAGAGAGAGAGAGAGAGAGAGAGAGAGGGAGAGAGTGGAATGAGTGGGGGAGGGGCAGAGAGAGGGGAGTCAGAGGATCCAAAAGCGGGCTCTGTGCTGACAGCAGACAGCCCGATGCAGGGCTGGAACTCATGATCCTTGAGATCATGACCTGAGCCGAAGTCAGACACTCAGCTGACTAAGCCAACCAGGCACCCCCCCAAATTAAATAATTTTTAAATAACAGTAAAGAATTACTTTCATTTTTGTTCATCTTCCAATCTTTACATATTTACATTCTGGAAATTTTTATTTTTATTATTATTATTTTTAAAATATTTATTTATTCATTTAATTTATTTATCTAGAGAGACAGACAGCATGAGCAGAAGAGGGACAGAGAGGGAGACACAGAATCCAAAGCAGGCTCCAGGCTCCAAGATGTCAGCACAGAGCCCGACACAGGGCTTGAACTCACTGACCGTGAGATCAGTTGGCTTAACCAACTGAGCCACCCAGGTACCCCCATTCTGGAAATTTCAAACAAACAAAAAAAAAAATCCAAAAACAATAATCTCCTTGAAAAGTGAATTAATTTCCTGCATCTGAAAATCGGTGCTCAAGAAAGTGAGCTGTGAGAGCCACCCAGCAGCCCCACAGAAGCCCCGCTCACCACACTGCAGCCAACTTCCCTTCTCTCCTATTTCGAGCCACCCAGAAGCAGGCAAAGGGTTTTATCAGGCAGGAAGTAAAGGGGGCCTGAATTTCGGCTGACTCCACCACTTTGCCAATTATTCGTGGAGAACAAGGCAAATAGCTACTACTTTCCTTTGAAGACACTTCCCTGTTATTGTGTTAACATGTGTTGGAACTCTATTTGAAACCCCCCGTGATATAAAGATGCAGTTTCCTACAGGGGGAAACCATCAATGCAAAGCGTGTGGCCAGTAAGCCAACTTCTCCTGCATTTCTTTTCCAGCCACCTTTGTCTTTTTGTCAAGGGCAATCCCTCTCCTTGACTTTCCCCTGGGAGCCTGGAGTCCTCCAGGTATGAGAGCCCTACCTTCCTCCCAGGACCAGGTGGGGGGAAAATGAAGGATGACGGCAGACACAGTACAAGCAGATTTGACAAAAACTCACTTCCTTAACTCTGTGTCATGTTCCCTTGGGAGCTTTTTTTTTTCCTGGCCATTTAAACCATCTTGTTTTCCTAAATCTATCTTAGTCCTAAAGCCTGAGTCCTTCCCTGTAGTACAGGTGGCTTTTTTTTTTTTTTTTTTTTTTGCAAACCCTTCATTTTTACACTCCCACCTCCTCCCTCATCTACTTGGCAGTGTCTCCCTCAGCAAACACCAGGAGCTGAGCACCACAGCCGCCGCCTCCAGCAGGCGCGAGCCGGTCCTGTTTCTCAGATTTTTTTTTTTTTTTTACAAAGGTAGATGTGATTTGAAGGTGAACAGAGTAAACAGCTCTCCCAAGCCCCCTCTACACCCAAACTGGAAACATATAGGAGGAGGCTATTTTACCTTATGGGACACCCCATCAGAAGACAGACATTCAGGAAGTGTGATTACCATGTGAAAGTTCAGGCACATGCATCGCTGGCTGGTGTGCCTCCAAAGAGCATATACTTAATGTGAAGCAACCTGTTAATTAACATACGAGCTATGCTGTCCGCAAGCTGAGAATCCTGTACTTACATATGAAATGGTGAATAGTTGACAAAGGTCCATTTGTTATTATGGTTTATTCAGGCCTAAAGGCTTACAATGAAATGGGCTTCAGGCCAAAAAAGACTAGAGCGTATGAATGGCAGGTTTGGGCAATTAAAACTAAGCTATCGAGCGTCACGGAGCTAAACAAACACGGTTTAAGTCGCCGACCGACGCTAAGTACAGAAGTGGTTTCTAAAAAACCTTTCTATGGAACCTACTAATAATAAAACGGTTTGGTTTTAAGTACTGATAAATGGAACAGACTGTGCAAAACAAAAACAAAAACCCCAACAGTTGTTGCAAAATGACATAACACAGTCCTGCCTCAAGTTCCCACTTCCTAACTACAATCTGGGGAGCCTCAGCCAGCCGGACATGCACCCACTTAGTACGGCAGGGGTCTGTGGGATCCAGGAGTTACAGACACTGGCATCATTATGCATAATGTATAAGAGCCTCTGAGACTCACCACTGATTATGTAATATAAATACCCTGCTTTTGATGGCTTTAGCTTCTAATTTATGAAGTCGTCAGAATGAGCTTTAGAGATGTGAATATTCTCCAGTGGGAGGGCTGTTTCCGAATCGGTTTGTCTGCTGTCCTCTTACCTAAGCAGCCTAAAGGAAGACTTTTCCAGACACAGTTCTCTGGCCAGGGTACCCCAGAACTACTTGCAAGTGGGGGCACGGGGCGGTGGGGGAAGAACTCAGTGCTGACCCTCCCATCCAAATCCCCTTGGCGGAATGCAATGGTTTCTCACAAATGGTGTAATTCGGTTCTTGAGCTATTTTCAAACCATTAACATCAACTCTCCCCACCCCCACTCCCACCTATTTCAATCTTCACTCCTCTCCTGTTTGAAAAAATCAGGAGAAAAACTAAAGTGCACTAATGATTTTAAGTTCCAGAGTAAGAAAAGTAAAAAGAAAATATAGACACTTTTGGCAAGAAAGACTACAGCCTACAGCTGGAGATCGTATGGTTTCGGTGACTCTTTCATTAGTAAACTAAGCAGACAATTCTGAGGTGTTTTTTGTTTTTTTTTTTTTTAATTGAGGCTTTTAATTATCTTCTTTTTAAACTATGGTATAAATATAAATAGTTCCTGAAATCTCACTAATGATTTATTTAACCAGGAGAGATTTTTTGTTTGTTTGTTTTTAGTATCTCTTTCGTTCCAATGATTTTTTTTTTAAGGGATATAAAATAAGAATCAGTTTGGGGAGGGAGTTATGCAAAAGGGGATGCAGGTAGAAAATAGTTTCAGAACATGGATTCTTCTAGTAAAGCCAAATGGTAAAGTCTTTATAAGTCCTTGTAGATAGGAGTAAGAATAAAAATCTAGTACCCTGGGGAAAAGAGGAGCAAAGACCAACTCAATGCCTACCGATGTTAAAAAGCAAATTTCAGGCATCTAGAATTTGCATCTACAAGTTGTCTTTCCCAAGCATGCCAAAGGAGTGCTCTCGCAATGTTTTTGGACATTCCCTTTGAGATGGTCTCTAATTCTAGAAGCAAATCTGAAAGAGTATGAGAAGACTACAGATTTTTAAGCTATCAAGTGACTGAACATCAGTGACACTTTATTTTTTACAATTTTTTAAAAGTTTTATTTATTTTTGAGAGAGAGAGAGAGGAGTGGAGGGGCAGAGAGAGGGAGACAGAGGGTCTGCAGTGGGCTCCGTGAGCTGATAGCCGAGAGCCTGATGTGGGGCTCGAATGCACGAACCATGAGATCATGACGTAGGATGCTTAACTGACTGAGTCACCCATGCGCCCATCAGTGACACTTTTAAAACACTCGATGTGTGAGGATTATCAATTTTTAAATAACCTCCGCAGTAAGAGAAGAAAATTAAAAAGAACCTGAATTCTCAAAATAGTTCTTTCACTCTGAAGCAGGGAAAACCCAGTGTCTGAGAGCTGCCCAGGCTCACAGGGGTCACTGGGCTCCTGAGCCTGAGCAGATGTGATTATTACCCCTGCCATCTCAAGGCCACTTGGAGACTTTGCATGTGAATAACCGTTTAACTTTGACAGAGACAATCTTCTCAAAAAGTAAATCAAGAAAGTAGGAGATGTTTGAAATGTGAGCTGCCTGCGGTCCCAGTGGGCACAGTGGTGAAGGGCTGGGGGCTCTGGGAAGATGAGGCGGGGGCCACATGAGGTGCAGCAGGGAGGGGTTTCCACAGTGAGTGGACAAAGGAAATGCAGAGCCAAGGGCAGGGAAGAAGAGACATGGGAGGAAGAGATGCCAAGGGAATGTAGAAAAGAACAGGAGCCCAGAAGTCACGGGACAAAAAGTTTCAAGGAGCCATCAACGAACAGAACCGCAGGTCAGAGAGGTTGCGGAAGATGATTCACGAGAGACACACGCCTGGAATACAAGCATGGGGCTCCCTGGCCACGTCTTTAAGACGTCTGCTCTGGGGACGGCTGGCAGTGAGAAGAGTGGGTCTAAACCCCACCAGGTAAGTATCAGAGGTGAAGCAGGTCTTGCAATCCACAAAACCCAACGCTGACTAGATTCAGAGCATCAAATCACCCCATTCTTGTAGGAGATGCAGGTATACAAATGACGAGACTCCCCACAGGACAAGACTAAATGTTTCCCATCTGACAGGAGAAGGCTGGTTCGGGCAAACAGATTACACACACTTACCGAAGACTCTGGCTACAAATCCCAGAGGGAACTGTGAGGCAAACACGGTGAGAAACCAGGGGGCGGCATAGAGGCTCGGGCCGATCTCATGCTCCTCGAGGTGATTGTAGAGGTCTCTGTGGTAATCGTGAAGAAGCCTCGAGAGCTGGTACATCTGGATCTGCGGGGACACACATGCACAGGTGTCACCATCAGATTCCTGCTACGTGTGTTCAGTTACTCATCCCACTCAGGCTGTGAGAGATTTATCGCGGTGTCAAACACTCTGTTTGGATTGTGATAACCACTGATCTCCACTACTCTTATCCAACAGGCACGTCCTGGGTGCCCAGTGCCTACGAGGTCCTGGCCAGGTGTGGCCCAGCACACTTACACCCGGGCTCCTCCTACCACTGCCTTTCTTTCTACCGTTCCCTGTGTTCCTTGGCTAAGAGAATCGAAACATCTGTCTGCTGGGAACATTTCAAACTCTCTTATAAATATACATTCCTAGCAAAACTCAAACCCAGGGGAATCCGAAAGGTAAAGCCAGCCTCTCTGCTAAGAGCGAAGGGGGGCACATGATGGCACTGTGGAAAGGCTCTATTACACCCGCTCACTTAGTAAATTCGCTCTAGACCCCGACTGCCCCCTGAAATATACACAGATCCCAGGCAAGTTAAAATAGGAAGACAAGTGTTTATCTCAAGATGGAGAAAATAACTTTTCCAAAGGGTCCCCTCTTCAGAGACTGCTATGGTTCTGGCACGAAGCCCATGAAGGGTCCCACGGCTCACAGGGGTCCTAGCGTCAGCCCAGATTTCTGCAGTCCGTGATGGCCGAGCCCAAAGAAACAATCTGGAAAGGGTCAGAACCCCAATGAGATGCTATAGGTCGGACACATACTTTCTAAACTGGCAAAAACAAGTGTTTCCAGAGGCCCAGACCACGCAGCCGTCTTCAGTAGTAGCTGTGGCTTTTTTTGGATCGAAAGGAATCGAGTCACTAAGGCCCCCAGCCCAAAGATGGCCGTGTGCTACAATGCTAAATTAACTTGAAAATTCTGCTCTCTCAGATGGGAGATGCGCCTATATTGAAGCTAATGGGGAGCACATAGAAAGAACCTGACTGTAACTGTGGGCAGTCTTCTGTGGGTCCAAATTTTTTAGTGAAATAGCTTTGTTTTGTGGGAATTCTATGTTCACGTGGTTCGTATTCACAGGTGGAGGTGAAAGCATTTTTAAGCACCCAATTTGGTGCTCTCAAAGAGTCCTTGGCTCTCACGTATCCTGTCCAAAAAATACTTTCTAAGGCTCTGATATCCGAGAACTTGCTGGTAAGTAAACATGTATGCATGTGCTCCAATGTTTCGGAATAGTCCCGCAGCAGGGCCCGGAGCTCTCCCTACCTCTGAAAGGTTGCAGTGGCAGCACTTACACACACCGCTGTTTGGTTTTCTTTTGCTCTGGCCTGCCCCCTGCCACTTGTCCATTCAACAAATACCGACCGGGTGCCTACTTCATCCCAGGCACTGTTCTAGGAACTAGGGATGAAGCTCCAAGACAGGTAAGATCCCTCCCTTCTCATGGTATGTTTTAAGAAAAGTCAGAAGATACACAGGTCAGCAAGTAAGGAAACAAGATAGATACTTTCAGGCAGAGAGTGTTTCATGGCAAAAGACACCAGGCGGCATAACACAGTACACGTGCCTGGGGAGGGGTGAAGTGCGGGACACAACATCAGGTGGTCAGGAAGAGCTTCTAGCAGGATTCGGTATTTGAGCTGAAGCCTGGGTGTGCTGAGGGGGATCCCTGGCAGAAGAAGTGGCTGACACAGTGGGAGGCAGAAATCAGATCCCCCGAAGGGGGTGTGATGGAGGGTAAAGGGAGGGCCCGGAGTCAGACAGGGCCGGCTTTAAACCCCAACTCCGCCACTCGCTAGCTGGGTAACCTGAGCCTCAGTCTTCCCATCTATAAATTGAGCTGATGAATAGCGTCTCCCTGAGGGCTGCTGAGGGGAGAAGGGCAATATGAAACGCCTAGCACACGGGCAGTGGCCGGCAACGACAGCTACTCTGGTGTTAATGGACGGTGGGGAAAGTTCCTCACAGAAACCTGGAAAGGGATCGTAAACATTTTTGGCATTTGTCTCCGGCATACGCATAAGGAGCGCTCTCTACCTGTAAAATAATCATGTCCGGCCGGTACTGTTTCCGCAGTCCCATTTCAAACATCAGGAACTTGAGCATGTGAAATGCCTCTTCCTCACCCATGTGAAGCAGCAAGATGCCCGCTACAAAGCTGAGACCCTGGCAGTACCCCACTTCCTGGTCGAGAAGCGAGTAGGCCTTCAGAATGTTGTAAAGTGAGAGCTGGCCCGCCCCCAGCTGCGCCGAGAAGTACGGATGTGTTGGAAAGGTTCGCCCTGCAAAAATAATACACGTTAGTTACAATAATCAACAAAAAGAAAAGAAAGAAAAGAAAGCAAGCTTATTGAACCAGAAATCCGATGTGCTTCAGGTTAAAGAACAGATCTTTGGAAGGTGGATTACAAACCAGCTCTGTCAACAAGAGTAGGTGGTTGCTCTTAAGAGTAACGTTAGCAATTAAAAAATCGGCAATGATCCGTGCCTTCTTTGACGGTGCTTCAGGTGAAAGAAATGAGAACCACCTTTGGTCCTGCAGTTATCTGGATTTCAATGTACAACAAAAAGAAAACTGTCGATCCTCTAAACGTACCTCTACTCTCACGAGGAGGGGACAGCTGTGGCTCTGTTACCAGCTTGTCCCACCTCACCCACCTGCAGCCACAGGCCTCGCCTTTCTATGGACACGCCCCGACCAGCTTTTCCATGTTCTGCCTGCAAATGCTTCACGCCACATGCATATTTCTGTACTCTTAAACCACAAGCAGCAGCGCTTTGAAACAGACCGAGAAGCAGCAGGTGTTTTCTTTTACACAAAACAGTTACCTTCCAGAAAGAAAAAGAAAAAAAACAAAAAACAAAAAAACAACCCAAACCCTCAACATCCAGATTATTTTCATAAAAAGCTGGTATTCAGATAAGGTTTAAGGACTTCTTTTGTCCCGTAGGCTTTTGTGGCTGATACCTGTCAAATACCACCTCACCCCCCTCCTTCTGGAATGCGCATGACAAGGAAATGTGCCCCCAGGGAGAAAAGTACTTGATTGAGAGAGGAAACCTCTAGAGCCAAGCCGAGGGCCAACCTTGGACCCAGGGGAGAATCACAGCCTCGTCTGGATCAGTAAAGGCAGAAGGTGCATCTAGGCCACAAGTTCATTGTTCACCTTATTTAGCCTCAGCAAAGGGAGGATGCATTTATGTGTTCTTCCTCAGGCTCATGAGAAAGCACTTAACTAATCCAGATCGGGTTGTCTGAACTTGACTTAAGAGGACAGCCGCGGCCTAACTACTTTCCTGATCTCTTGTCCTGCATTCATTCAGTGCCTGCTCTACCTCTTCCCCCAACAAATCGTCCCCAAACACACCCTGAACACGTCACCTCCCACTGCTGGAAAGCAATCAATAGCCCCCGGTGCTCAAAGAACAAATCCTACCCCCCCAGCCTGGGAGCTCTGCACACCTCCTCACCTACTCTCCCCGCCTCATCCTCTACTCCAGGGCATGGCCCGGGGAGCAGGGAGGGGGTGTTCGGAGGCTCTGAACCTCCCTGGGCTGCGCGCAGCCCTGCAAGTGTGTGTGAGAGTATGAGAGGGTGTACTATGCCTCCTGTGCATTTTCCTAGTCTACAGCATGTAACAACTGTGGTGACAGGGACACATGTAATTAAAAATTTTCCTTCAGCCATATTAAAAAGCAACAGGTAAAATTAATTTTAAGACTGTTTGTTTAACCCAACATAAACAAATGTTATTTCAACAGGTAATCAATACATAAATTACTGAGACATTCTGCATTCCTTTTTTTCATACGAAGCCTCTGAAACCAAGTTGTACTCCTTGTACTGACAGCACATCTCAGTTTGGAGCTGCTGTATTGCAAGTGCTCAGTAACGCACGTGCCCGTTGTATTGACACTGTGAGTGTATCGCTTTCCCTGGATTCTCAAAGGGATCAGGGCAAAAGTAGACAGGAAGCTCTTCACTCCGTTTCCCCCACCTGCTTCGAAGCGGACGGGGCTCTTCCCACCTCTGCGTATCTTGCGCATGCCCCTGCCCCTGCCCCAGCCCAGCATGCACCCCTCCCTCCAACCTCCTCTGGGTCTCAAACAGGTACAGGAGGCGGAACACACAGACCTCATGTGGCGTGCAGGAACGCCAGGGAAGGTCGGTCACCTTTCAATCTGTCCGTGCTGGCGCTTCTGCTAGTTGGGCTGCCCTCTCGTGTTAGATGCTACCCCTCACAGAAACAAGAGCCAGCACTAAATGGCCTGTGTGTAGAGGGGGCATTTTTAAACTTACTTTTATGATCACAGTTGACATACAGTGTTATATCAGTTTCAGGTGTACAGATTTGACAATTCTGTACCTTACTCAATATTCAACACGGGAAGTGTAGTCACCAGACGACGTTATTACAGTACTGACTACCTTTCCTGTGCTGTACTTTTCATCTCTGTGACTTATTTCATAACTGGACATTTATACCCCTTCTGAATCCCCTTCACTTATTTCACCCACCCTGACACCCCTCCCCTCTAGCAAACACTGGTGTCTTTGTATTTATGAGTCGGTTTCTGGGTTTTTTTTTTTTTTGTTTGCTCATTTTTGTTTTTTAGATTCCATATGTAAGTGAAAGCATGTGGTCTTTGTCTTTCTCTGTCTTATTTCAGTTAACATTATACCCTCTGGGTCCATCCATGTTGTAAATGGCAAGATCCTAGTCTTTTTTATCGCTGAATAATATTCCATGTATATATACCACGTATTTATCCATTCATCTATCAATGGTGGACATTTCTCATTTAATCCTTGCAAAGACTCCTACTAAGATGAGCCCAGCAAGCCAGGGAGTGACTTCTGGCAATTAGAGTACTCAACAATTATCAGATTTGGGGCGGGGCATTCACAGGCATCGTGTCCGTGTGATCGCAATGGCTGTGTGCTTAGAAGGGTCTCGTGCTGGGTTTAATGCTCTGCTGTTCCACTGTCTTGAAATTCTTAATAATTTTTGGACAAGCGATTCTGCATTTTCATTTTGCAACAGGCCCTGCAAACTGTACACCCTGTTTGAGGCAGGCGGCCCCCTAGGAAGCTTCAGGGATTGCTCCAGCCGCCTTCCCCGAAGCTTTGCCACCAAACGGTATGTTACGAGAAAGCAAACCTTAGGCCAAATTCCGCCCAACACATGACCTTTATCAGCACGCTGACGTGAAAAAAAGAACCACATGAGAACTTCTCATGCTCTATCTTCAGGCTTCCAACAAGCACCTCTTGGAAAAGGTTCAGCTGGAGGAGGGTCCCGGGACAGTCTGACGGCAGAGCCAGGCCACCAATGGTGTCACACCGAGGGTCCATGGAGCGCAGGACCCAAAGGGCGTTGGCCTCAAGCTCTGCTCCGCAGTCGCTGGTGGCAAGGCCCGAACACTTTCTGATCAACTACAGATCTGGAATGTTATCCAATTTCACCAAGAAAAACTTCCATGTAGCATCTCCTCTGCTAAGAACAAGCCCTCAGATGCACACTTGGATAGCATCTGAAGTACATATGCAAACACCTCTGGACTGTGGGTCTCTGACTTAGGAAACTTCAAAAAGCCATCCACACACTCTATGTGGGGACAGGACTTATCACATACATCACACTGATAATACTCCATGGAGCGTTTTACCACCATGCAGACAGTAACATTACCCGCATTTTACTGAGAAAAACGCGGTGGGTGAAGGCCCTTCAGTAAAATCACCCAGCTATTAAGTGGCCAACCGAGGATCTGAACTCCGGTCCCTAACTCCGGAGACAGAGTTCTCACACCATAGATGTCAAAGGAAAAGGTATGGGAATCGGGGAAAAATAGCTATTACCACGCACAGTGTCCCCAGCTCACAGCACGAGTTGCCAGGAGAGCCAAAGTCCTGCCTTCCTTTTTTTCATGGAGACTTCGAGTCCTCTGCCGCCTCAGCAAAGCATTCCCCTGGAGAGTCCCAGCTCCTCCAACTCGGTTAGTGTTTTCTGCTCTACTTCTCACTCAGCACTTTCACACAGTCCCTTGTACCAGGCACTGTTGTCTCCACTTGTTCCAGCTGTGTGACCTTGGGCACTCGGTGGATCCCTGAGAGCCTCCCCTTCTCGCCCGGAAGGAGGGAGTGTGGCTGCACTCGCTGGGGCTGCTGTGAGGATTAGACACAAGAGGGTGTGCGTGCCTGCTGTGACGCCACACATAGCTGGCACCAAATAAATACCCACCACAGGGGCGGGATACCCCACGTGACCACCGAGCCTGGGTTCTGATGACGACGGTTATTCATGGGAAAGGTCTGTTCAAGCAGCAGCACACGTTAGGCCTGCTTCGTGCACCAAAGAACACGCAAGCTAGATGTGGGCTTTCCAAAGTCCTCATGTGAGCACGCTAACAGAATCCTTCCCCCAGCCCGGCCTCGGTGCTCCCCTGGGGACAGGAACTGTGCCACAGAACTGAAAGATGCACCTTTTTTTTTTTTTTTTTTTTTTTTTTTTTTGCCCTTAAGAGACTCACAGTCTGGTAGGGGAAAAAAAGGGGGGGATAAATCCAGAAAACTCAATATTCAGTGACCACAGGTCTTACACAGGGTGCTGAGGACAGGAGGTCGTGGCCCTGCCTTCATGAGGCTGTCACCTGAGAGAGACGATTTCACATGACTGAAGATACTAGCGGTTCTCTGCCATCGCATGGGGACAGCGAGCACTGGAAGGACAGGCACAGAAGGACAATTTATAGAGATGAGCCCGAAAGCCAAGAGGCCTGGCCCAGGCCCAGGCCAGGAGTCCAGGAAGGCTGTTTGGAGGAAGTGACCAAGCAGGGGAAACAGGTGTGAACCAAGCAGGCCGGTGGGGAAAGCACGCAGGCAGCAGCGATCACACAAGCAGGACCCCCAGGTCTGGGGTCGGCCCATCAGGAGAGAGGACGGGAGAGTTAAGAGCAGGGCCTGTAAGCAAAGGGCTTGGAAAGCAGGCTCAGCCCATGGGCCGTGTGAGGGCCATGGAGTCAGCAGGTCACTGAGGGGTCAGAGACATGACTCCTCGCTAAAGAAAACTCCAGGAGCCGGCCTGCAAAACAACCCAGGGCAGGCAAGGGCCAGAGGACGTCAGCCTGGACACGAGCCAGGGAGCGGTCACAGGCCCTTACCCGGGAGAGCAGTGGTGGGGCAGTGTGACCAGCACTGGACTCTGGACTTACTCTCGGGACAGGCTTAGACTGAGGAGAGAGCGGAGAGCAGGCCGCGGCGTTTCTAGCCTGGGAAACC